TGTTGTTATTATTCTCCTTTGTTTTCCATTAAGGCATAACATTAAATCATTTACATATTGATTTTTTAATTTATTTTTATTTTTATTTATTTTATTTTATTTTATAATATAATTTAATTCTACATATCAACCACGGATTCCCTTGTTCTCTCCCCTCCCACCCCCCTCCCCTTCCCCCCAGCCCACCCCCCATTCCCATCTCCTCCAGGGCAAAGACTCCCCTGAGGATTGAGATCAACCTGGTAGACTCAGTCCAGGCAGGTCCAGTCCCCTCCTCCCAGGCTGAGCCAAGCGTCCCTGAATAAGCCCCATACTTATTGATTTTTAAAACTGTTAACTACTAGCACACAAAATAGTGGGTTTCATTGTGACGTTTTGTAAAGATATATTTTTATTTTTAATTGTGTGTGTGCACACATGTGCAGGTGCCCTCGGAGGCTAGAGTTGTTGGATCAGAGTTATAGGTGGTTGTGAGCTGCCCAACTCCAATTAACTCTGGTCCTCTGGAAGAATAGAGCTTGGGTCCTCTGCAAGAGCAAGTATGTGTGTTCTTAATCCCTGAACCTTCTCTCCACCTCTTACTGTGACATTTTTATACATATATATCATTATACTTTGATCTTAGTTGCCCCCCCTTCTTCGAACTTCAAATATCTCTACTGTTTTCAATTCACATGTATTTTTTACCTTCCCGTGCCCCCCCCATACCTCCTCTTACACTTCTTTGTTCGTTCTCATAGACCTTTTTCTACTTTCATGTCTTCTATATGTATTTATGCAGCATGTGTATCTAAATTTAAGTCTAGATTCTTCATCTGAGAGAAAACAGTCTTTGTCTCTCTGTGTCTGGCTTATGTCATTTTCCTGAAAATGTTATAATTTTCATTGTTCTTTACAGCTGAATAAAATTCTATTGTGTTTATATACAACATTCTCTTTATATATTTTTTTTTACTGGTGGAATTTCAGGCTTGTTCTAAATCCTAGCCTTTTTTTTTTTTTTTTGTGAATAGTGTAGCAATAATCTTGTGTATTTAAGTCTTTCTGTCATATGCTTAATTTTCCTGTGGTATAGATCCAGGCACAGTATGGCTGGTTCTGTATGTTAGTTTGATTTTTAGTATTTTGAGGATCTTCCGTACTGATTTCTGTAATGGCCAAGCCAATTTACACACCCACTAGCAATGTATAAAAGTTCCTCTGTCCTTGCAACCTTGCCAGCATTTGTTTTCTTGATGATAGCAATTCTGATATTGATGCAATGGAATCTCTCTGCATGTTTAACTTATAGTTTCCTTGATAGGCTTAAAGATCTTGAATGCTTTTTTTTTTTTTTTTTTGGTTTTCAATTTTCAAGACAGGGTTTCTCTGTGTAGTCTTGGCTATCCTGGAATTTTTTTCTGTAGACCAGGGTTTCTCTGTGTAGTCTTGGCTATCCTGGAATTTTTTTCTGTAGACCAAGCTGACCTCAAACTCACAGAAATCCACCTGCCTCTTTTGGGGTTAAAGCCATGAGCCACTACCAACACCTTAAGTTCTTGAATACTTTTTTAAAAAATGTGTAGGCCAATTGTGTTTCTTCATTGGAGAACTGTCTCTGTTTCTCTGTCTCTCTCTCTCTGTCTCTCTCTCTTTTTATTTAATTTTTGTTTTCATTTTACATATCAACTCCAGTCCCTCCTCTCTACCCTTCTCCTGCTATCCCCCGCTCCCCCCATCCCACCCCCCATCCACTCCTTAGAGAGGGTAAGGCCTCCCATGGGGAGTCAACAAAGTCTGGCATACCAAGTTGAGGCAGGACCAAGCCCCTTTCCCCTGTATCAAGGCTGAGCAAGGTATCCCTCCATAGGGAAGGGGCAGAGAACTGTCTCTTTAATTCATTAGTTCATTTATTAAGTGAATGATTTGTTTTATTTTAAATTTTTTAGAGTTTTTTCTTTTATAGATTCCATGTTAATTCCTGTTTGATATATAACTGTTAAGGTTTTCTTTTTCCATTCTGTAGATTGTTTCTTCAATTTGATGATTCTTTCATTTTCTGTATAGAAGCCTTCATTTCATGTAATTCTATTTGATAATTTTTGAGAGTATTTCCTACAGTACTGGAATTATTTTCAGAAAATCCTTGTCTTGTGCCTATATCTAAAAGAGTTTTCCTCTAACAGTTCCAAGATTTTAGATCCTACTTTAAGATCTTGGATCCTTTTGGAGTGGTTGTTTGTGAGGGATGAGAAGTATGGACATAGTTTCATTCTTCCACATACGGTATTCAGTTTTCTCAGTACTGTTTGTTGAGGAGGCTTTTTTCCAGTGTGTGTTATTTTCACCTTTGTTGAAAATGAGGTAGCTGTAGCTGCAGAAACATTTCTCGATCATCTGTTCTCCCTCTCAGGTTCTAACTAGGCCAGACCCTGCCCAACTTCCAAGACCAGAGGATATGAGGAATGTTCAGGGTAGCGGCTGCTGGATCTTTTATTCTTTTCCATTGGTCTATGTGTATGATTTTTTTCCGTTGCCATGTGACTGTGATTCTGTAATGTAGTTTGAGATCAGGTATTGTGATACATCCAGCATCGTTGTCCAGGATTGCTTTCATTATTTGGGAGTCTTTTGTGCTTCTATATGGACTTTTGGATTATTTTTCCTAATTTTATAAAGAATGTCATTGAAATTTTGGTGGAGATTACATTAAACTGTAGATTTCTCTCAATGACATTATTCATTTTCACAGTATTAATCCTGCCCGTCCGTGAGAAAGGAGGCCTTCCCAAACTTCTAGTGTCTTGAATTTTTTCAGTGTTTTAAAGTTTTTATTATAGAGGACCTTTAACCTCCTTGGTTAGGCTTGTTACAAGGTATTTGTTTAAAAGCTATTGTGAATAGATTTTTATCCCAACTTTTTTGCATTTTTATTGGTATGTATAAAAGCTCTTTGTATATGATTTTTTATCCTGCTTTATTGCTGAAAGTATTTGTCAAATTTAAGTTTTCTGGAGGAATCTTCATATCTTCATGGTCTTTTTTAGCATTTGTGTGTTTGTATGATGTGTGTGCATGTATGTATTCACGTTCACGTGTATGTGAGTGTGTGTAGATTCATATAGAGGCCAAATGTTGGGGTTGGGTGTCTTCCTCAATTGCTATCCACTTCATTTACTGGGGCCTGCCCAGCTGGTTTTTACATGGACGCTGGGAATCTTGTATGTGGGCACTGGGAACCTGTCCTCCCATCCTCATGCTTCTGTGACAGGCACTTTAAGCCTGGAGCCATCTCTCCAGCCCCTCTTTGGGACCTGTTAGCTATAGCATCATGTTATCTATAAGCAGAGATAATTTGTGTTTAAAAATCAGTTTTATCTTTTAAATTTCTGCTCCAGTCTTTCTTTTTGTTTCCTTACTTTTAAGTCCATTTCAATTAAAAAAAACATTTAGATCACATTCTAGTTTTGTTTATAGTGCTTTGTGGTATTTTGCTGGGAAGTTACAAAATCAAAACAGACTTTGCTTTGCCTTAGGCTTTTGTCTTCAGTAAATGAAACTTGCTAGTATAGTGTTACCTATATGCTCTTAGCCTAAAGTTGATGGCTGAGGCTACAGACTAGAATGAATCGACTTAGTCAAAAGTTCTTTGTAAGTTAAACTGGCTGAGTATTAAAGTAAATATAAAGGGCTCGATAGTGTAATCATAAACAACTGATCCTTTTACTATGATAGTACATTGGTAATATTTGGCTTTTAAATTTATTTACTATATTCTCAATCATTTTTCTTATAGGTTATATTTTACTCATCTTTTAGTCCCTTTCACTTATTTGAGTTACCTTAGTTGTGCATACCTTGTATTTTACAGTTGTAAACTGTTTAAAATACGTCTTTAGATAGAGAATATTATATTACATTTACTTAGATTTAACTAACATATTTCTTATATGTATCAAATTTGTGCTCATATTTTAAAAAGAAATATACTGCAAAGTAAAGATGCTATTTATATTGTACCTTCTTATATTTTCATCCTCTGTCTTTTAAGTAATCCATAACTTAAATAGGTTTGAATTCTTCCAGACCACGTTTTACATTTTCTTTTATATGGATTCTCTTTTGTATTTTTAAAAAACTGTTGAAAGTTTTATTCTTCTCATGGAAAATTTTGTTTTTCTTCTTTCTTTTCTTCCTCCCTCCTTTCCTTTTGTTTGGCAGGGGTGGTGTGGGATAAGGTCTTTCAGTGTAGTTCTGGCTGTCTGGAAGCTCACTATGTCGGCCAGGCTAGCTTTGAACTCACAGAGGTCTTCCAGTCTCTGCTGGGATTAAGGAGTGCACCACCACACCAGGCCAAAAATTTGTTTTTCCCTCAATAGTTTACTTTAGTTATTTTGTCCATACCTTAAAATTTTAAATTATTTTATATAGATAAAATTTGTTAACACATTCCAAACTTTATTTTTTTCTTAAGGTTTGTTTTTGAACTATATTAACAATTAGCTTTAGCTTATAATTGTTTTATTACACACACATATTATCAGGTCATTTGTGTTGTTAAAATGTCACTTTTTAAGCTCTGACTTACCTAGTTTATGTAAGATTATCCTTCTCTCATTTTGCAGATACAGTGTTGATAGCCTGTCTTTCCCCCAGAGACCTTTGGGAGTGTAAGGGTGAGACAGAGATGGAAACTTTTCAAATCTGAGTTCAGTAGTTCTCTGTTTTTGAGACTGGGTTTCTTTGTGTAGCCTTGGCTGTCCTGGAACTTGCTCTGTAGCCCAGACTGGCCTCCAACTCACAGAGATCCACCTGCCTCTGCCTCCTGAGTGTTGATATTAAAGGTGTGCATCACCACACCCCAGCATCAGTATTTTTTTTAAAGTACCTATAGCATATAGTATCACACATAAAAATGCATTTTTTTAGCCTATTGAATTTTTATTTGAATTTGTGTCAGGTGTCTTCTAAATTCATCTGAGCGTTATTAGAAATGAATTTAATCTAATTCTGTCTTGCAGAGGCTCAAAACCAAGTAAGACAGATAACGTTTCTGCAAAGCAGACTCCATGTGTGAAAGAAAAGCACAGAGCTGATAGTGGTGTTTCTGTTACATCTGATACTCAGCCCAAAGGTTTGTGATTGCTAGCAAATGGAAATTAGAATTTTGCTTATTGTATTTACAGCAGTTTTTGTCGAATATCTTATAGTGATATTGAAATGATATGTGAAAATAAACAGTTATCTAATATACATAAAATTGCCAAAGCATCTATTTATATACCTAAGTATATATTTATTTCTTTACTTGCCAGTCCCAAAAGTTAAATTTGAATATTGCTTTTTATATTTTTATGTGTATATGGAGTAAAACTGTCTATGAAGTTATGTTAGTTTGGCTATTCGAATCATTGTTTTTATGGATTTTAACATTACTGTTACCTGGAATTTTATTATGAACTACCCACTGTATTCTCTTACTATAAAATGCATTGGTCAGAACTTGTTTTAACTCTGAAAGGATGCCTGCCTAAGCCAGTTTTAGCAAACATGAAGGTAAATATATCTCAGACTTCTAAAACTTCTTCATAGGTCTCCTGATGTATATAATAAATAAATTATGACTCCTTTCCTTTTTATTTTTTTTTTTTAAGATTTAAATTTTTTTTTACCAAAATTTATGAAAAACTAGTTTACTGCCTTAGCCATTAGAATGCTCTTGGATTGTTGATAGTTTAAAACAAAGTGAGATATTTTGTTTTCTGAGTAATTTTCTAAATTATTCATGAGAAAAAAAATGTCCTTTAATCACACTATGCAAAAATTTATGTATTTCATTTCAAATATAACTATTAGGATTCTGTGTGTGTGTGTGTGTGTGTGTGTGTGTGTGTGTGTGTGTGTGTATGCCTGAGGAAGCCAGAGAAGGGTTTTGGCCTTTCTTGTTTATCATTTTCTGCCCTACTCCTTTGGGATAGGCTCTTTCCCTAAACTGGCAGAGCTGGGTTGGCAGCCAGCCAGTAAGCCCCAGCCAGCCTCTTCCCTCCACCCTGTTGGAGCTGGAGTAGCAGGTGTATGCAAGACCATGCCTGATGGGTTCCAGGAGTGCATGTCCTTGTAGTTGGGTAACAAGTAATCTTAATCATTTAACTCTCTCTCCAACCCCTACAATATTTTCTTAGTAGACCTCATAGAAACGAAGGAAACCAGACTTAACTTTTATGTATACAAGAGGCCAGTGGAATTTTTTTTTCTTTTTTTTTGAGGGCAGTTACTAGAGAAAGCATTGCAACTTTGTAGAGACAAGCTTCCACACAGCCACTTAGTACATGGTGGGAACATTTCTTAGGAACGATATGAAACTTGTTAGTATAGCGTTATTTATATGCTCTTAGCCTTACGGTTAGTTGTTAGGGCTTGAAGACCAACCCGAACGAATTGACTTTAGTCAAAGTGTTTTGTAACTGAAACTGGATGAGTCTTATTTTGAATATTTGAGATTTTATGAGTAATGTGGTGTGGTTGGGGACACTGACTAGCTCCACCTCGTCTTATTTCTGTTTTCTGTAGCTCTTTCTCTTTTGTTGCTATTTATTTCCATTTTCTTCCACTCACTCTCATAATCACACAGACATGGGCTGTTATTTTGTCATAAACTTTCCTTCTAGGACTGCCTTGCTTCTGTCTTAGAAACTCTAGTAGGTGTGCTATCAGTTTAACTTTATTCCAGGAATTTTCAAATTATTCTGGATGAGTGAATTAACACCGTATTATGAAAATGACCATATTGCCAAAACTAACATAAAGATTTAATGTAATCCCCACCAAAATTCCAGTGACCTTCTTCACAATACTTGAAAAAATAATCCTAAGTGTTCATATGGAAACAGAAAAGACATCCAGACCAAAACTAAATAGGCAGAACATTGCCAGGAGGTATCACAATGAGTGACTTCAGTTTATACTACAAATCCACAGTGACAAACATAGCATGCTACTCCCACAAAACAGACACATAGACCAATGGAATATAATCAAAGACCCAGAAATAAACCCATGTAGCTTTAAAGAAAAATTCAGTCATGAAATTTGCCAGGAAATGGTTGGATCTGGAGCTTATTATATTAAATGAGGTATAAGGTCTCCTGGGTTCTGATTTGAATATTATGTGTAGTTATGTGGGAATGAGTGTGCATATAGGTCAGAAACTAGAAAGTAGGTTGACTACAGGGATACTGGGGAGAGGAATTGGGGAGGATTGATGAAGAGAAACCAAAGTATAATGAGTTCCATAATGAAACTCATTACCTTATATGCTAATTAAAACATACAGAATAATAAGAGAATTGCTGGCCGCTAGTGACGCACACCTCTAATCCCAGCACTCTGAAGGCAGAGGCAGGCGGATCTCTGTGAGTTTGAGGGCAGCCTGGTCTACAGAACGAGTTTCAGAACAGTCAGGGATACAGAGAATCCTGCCTTGAAAAACAAAACAAAACAAAACAAAAGGGTAATGAAGTATTTTCTCTGAATTTGCTAAATACAAATGGGTGGAATATTGTAAATGTAATTATTATTTTATAACTTTTTATTGTATATACCTTTACCATGTTAAAACCTTTCATTTTTATTTAGACAGAAAGGGGGAAATGTTGTGGAATATTAGTTTAAGATGTGTTACATTCATTGATGCTATGGAATATTTGTTTAGTGATGCAAAGATGTGTTACATTTTTTTACGTTGCATTTGTTTAACTCTGTAAAGATGTGTTCGTTTGCTTGCCTCAAAACACCTGATTGGTCTAATAAAAAGCTGAATGGCCAATCACTAGGCAGGAGAAAGGATCAGCAGGGCTGGCATGCAGAGAGAATAAATAGGAGAAATCTAGGGAGAGCAAGGAGTGAGGAGCGAGAAAAGGAGGAGAGGAGGAAGCCAGGGGTTAGCTACCCAACCACACAGGAAGCCCCTCCCTTCCTCCCTCCCTCCCTCCCTCCCTCGTTTCCTCCCTCTCTTCTGTCCCTCCCTCCCTTCCAATGTCACTACAGAACAGAGCTGGTTAATGTAGGACGTACCTTTATATTTTCTTCCAGTGTCACTGAAGAACAGAGCTGGTTAATGTAGGATGTACTTTTATATTTTCTTCCAGTGTCACTACAGAACAGAATTGGTTAATGTAGGATATACTTTTATATTTTCTTCCAGTGTCACTATAGAGGTTTTAACATGAGCTTTAGGCAGTGCATTGATTTCAATACAGCTATGAACTCATGTAAGAGGAACTTTTGTATGTTTTGGGCATAACTGTGCCTTTTATGTTTTTTAAAGACGTTAATAGTGGAAATAAAGGTTGTGACTATCTTGAAGAGGGGACCAGAAACAAGAACGCTTCACATTCTTGTTCAGAAATGGAATACACTCCAGTTTCGAGGAAGAGAAAGAAAAGAGTTAGAAGTAATATACATGATTCTCATAATTCTAAATCTTCTTTGGATAAGTCACCAGAATATACAGTAAGTAGATGTATTTAAATGCTATAGGGAATGATTTTGTGCTGTGATAAAAATGAGTTAACTGTAGCCAACTAATGAATGGTCTTTGAACTTTCTACTTTACTGGACTTTTTTTCTAGTTCTGTGTAAACTTTATTTTTTAAATTTTAAATCACATTACTTTTATTTCACGTTATTATTTGTGTGTGTGTGTGTGTGTGTGTGTGTGTGTGTGTGCGCAAGCGTGCTCGCGCTTGTGTGCACACACATGTGTGCTCATGTGTATATGGCTCTCAGAACACAGTTTGTGGGAGTTGGTTCCCTCCTCTCACGGTGTGTGCACAAGTGATCGAACCCAGATTGTCAGGCTTGGTGGCAAGAGTTTCCACAAGTTTTGATGTTCTTTCTTATTTTTGCTTTTGTTACTAAAAAGCAATTTTTGTTACTACTTTGGAAATAAAAATGTTAAAAAGAATCCGACCATTCTAAAGTTTATTAGCTCTGACTTTGCCACATATGGAAATTTCTTTTTTTTTTTTTTTTAAAGATTTATTTATTATGTATACAGTGTTCTGTCTGCATGTACACCTGCCTGCCAGAAGAGGGCACCAGAACTCATTATAGATGGTTATGAGCCACTACGTGGTTGCTGGGAACTGAACTCAGGACCTCTGGAAGAGCAGCCAGGGCCCTTAATCTCTGAGCCATCTCTCCAGCCCGGAAATTTCTTTATTTGACCCTTTAAAAATTATTTGGGCATCAGATTTAATAGGTTAAACCCTGTATCATTGTATTTGGGTGGCACTGCCAAGCATAATTAGTGTAGCTGTGTACTGTCTGTCCATATACTTACAAAAATGGTACACTTTCATTTTTATGTTATTCCTGATGAATTTAAGTCTTAGATGTATACCTTAGGGAAACGCAGTGGAAAAACGTAATTTCTCTACTTTTTAAAAACCGTTCAGAAAGAAGAAGAAAATGACTCAACGCTTTCCAGTAAGCTTGAGCAGTCAAGTGACAGCTGTCATGAGGACCCAGCACCCCCCGAGGGACCCACACCTGAACCTGCAGAGAGTGAGGCTGCCAGTGTGTGCTCACTTGCTGTTCAGGAGTCAGGTGTCACCGCTGCCTCTGGAATGACCTGTTCACCCACCCGAAGCTCGGAGAGCTCCGTTTCTCACAACGAGGTGGAGGGCTCTTCCCAGGCTGAGAAGGACGAGGAGCTGACTGTGAAAGAGAAGTCTCTTGTAGGTGGAAACAGTGAAGAGAACCAGTTGTTGATCTCAGCTGAACCAAGTAAGTAAAAGAAGATTGTAAAGACACTCCTTTTCAAAGCTTTACTCAGAGCTTTTGCTTTTCTCAAATTTTCCTAAGGCCAAAAGCTGTTTGAACCTCTGGGAAGTATATCAACTTTAGGAAAAACATCCTTGATGGTTCCCTTATGAATCTTGTAATACTAATTTAGGCAAACAAGTGGAGCTCCACCCGGGGCCTAGCCATGGATCTCTGCATCCAGATCTCTCAGTAGTTGGATGGGGTTTCTAGCACGACAATTAGGGTGTTTGGCCATCCCATCACCAGAGTAGGTCAGTTTGGGCTGTATCTCGACCATTGCCAGCAGTCTGTTGTGGGAGAGTAAGTTTTAAAAGATATTTACCATGAAGTAGCCCAGAAGTTTTAAAAGATTCTCTGAAGACTGTTGTTGTTGTATGTTGTTGGAGTGGAATTTAGATTCAACTTGATTGTCATTAATTTGATTTAGTCAATTCTTAAAAATTGTTGTTGTCCTCTGACACAAAAATTCAAAAGGCTCTACAGGGTATGCAATGATTTTCATCTTTATCTTCTAGCCATTCATTACCCCCTCCCACAAGAAAGTAATGTGAAAGGACTCAGGACACAATTCAGAGTGATATCGTAATACTTTGTCAAAACTAGAAATTGTTTGGAAACTTGTCTGTTAGTTCTATCACTGTAACAGAATGCCTGATATAATTACATAATTAAAGACTGGGCTGGGAATATAGCTCAGTGGCATTGTGCTTATTATTTACAAGACTCTGGATTCAATCTCCAGCACAAAAGAAAGAGAAAAGGAGAGAAAGAATAAAATACTGATTTTGGTTCAGAGTTGAGAGAGGGAGGTGAGGAAAAGATTTATTATGGCTTAAAGTTATCTAGGCTTCTGTTCAAGATTGAATGGACCCAGTGCTTTGGGCTGCTGCGGGTGAATATAGATGGCAGGAAATGTCAGGAGCATATAGTAGAGTGAAACCACATATTTCATTCTCCAGGGGGCAAAGGGAATGGCTTGTCCAGCAACTCCATATCCCCTTGTGGCAAGCCCCAGTGACCTAGGGATGTCTAGTGACCTGAGTGTCTTCCACTGCTAGGCCGCACCTCTGAAAGGCTCCACCTTATCTCAGAAGTAACACTTATGGGCCCAAGTTTTTAACTTGCAGATCCTTGAAGACACTCAATACCCAGAGTGTACCATGTTTACTTTTGACTTTAGTAAGGAAGCTGTTGAATAGTAATGCCAATATGAAATCTGCTTATAACAATACTAATCAGCTAGTGAAAGATAGGTTAGACTTAAGTTGAATTTAGGTACTTAGGTTTAATGTGATTATTAAAGATATTTAAGTAGAAAGTTCTTTTTCTGTAAGTCATTATTGTGACACCTTTAAAACACACTTTCCTTTTTAGTTGTTGTTTCCAGTGATGAAGAAGGACCCATTGAACACAAGAATTCAGCTATTCTGAAGTTACAGCCTAGTCGAGATTATGAGATTGCAAGTGAACATCAGGGTCCTTCTGAAGCACAGTTGTCAGAGCTACCCCTGAGTGCATACGAGTCTGTACAGGTAATTTACTGCTGCCTTCTCAGAGAGTAGCAGTCAAGTGCTACTTTCATAACGTTTCCTCTGTTTCACTATCAAAGTTTAAGGCAGTTCTTTTACCTGTTTCCTTATTTGTATGTGGGGGTGTGGGGAGGTGCAGGCCATGGCACAGCTGTGGGTTAGAGGACAACCTGCAGGAGGAGTCTCTTCATCTGTACGTACCTTCCAGGGATTGAGCTCAGTTGTTAGGCTTAGTGGAAGGAACCCTTATCTGCTGAGCCCCCTTTCCAGCCCCCAGGGAAATTGTCTTTTTTTTTTTTTGGTTTTTCAAGACAGGTTCTCTGTGTAACAGTCCTAGCTGTCCTGGAACTCACTTTGTAGACCAGGCTGGCTTCGAAATCACAGAGATCCACCTGCCTCTGACTCCTGTGTGCTGGCATTAAAGGTGTGCGCCACCACCGCCTGGCCTCAGTGAAATATTCTTATTGCTTAATATCTACTTATTGTTTTAATAAGCAGAATATTATGATAAAGATTATGCATTTCCTGAGTGTGGGTTTTGCAACAGCTTTCCTGTTAGTTTTAGTGACATGCTTTTTAGTCTAAATATTCTGTGACTTGAATATTTTCTGTAGTTCTCATTGAACTATAACTTTGATATTTGTCTGCTCTTGGAGTAGTATGTCTACTTGAAATTATTTCTTTTCTTCACATCAAGTTGTCTATCTTTAAATATAGAATCTATAATAAAACATACAGATTTGATGTAACAGGGTTCTTAAGCATTTATGTCTCTCTTTAAAAACCTTTATTTATAAGCCAGGCGGTGGTGGTGCACACCTTTAGTCCCAGCACTTGGGAGGCAGAATCAGGTGGATCTCTGTGAGGCTAGCCTGGTCTACAGAGCGAGATCCAGGACAGGCACCAAAACTACACAGAGAAACCGTGCTTTGAAAAACAAAACAATAGGTATAATGTCTTTCAACACATCTAAAATTTCTCATAAAATTCATCGCCAGTCTGTCTTCATTTTCACATATGCACATGCAAAATCTAAAAATGTCCAAGATTCAAAATTGAAAAATAAGTTTAAAATCTACATTTTATACAAAAAAATCTTAGTGACTTTTTTCACATTAAGAATAGTATAAAAATTTTTAATAATAATTTAAAGAAGAATTTTGTCTTTGAATATAATTTTCAGCTTTTTTTTAATTCTTTGAGATTTATATACATTTATAATTTATTCTTTGTTAGACATCATCTGAATTCTGTCCATACAATCCTGACATGGAAAACATTTCCTGTATTATACCTAACAGTGAAATGGATCTGAAACTGGATTTTGTATTTACTTCTGTGTATATTGGTAAAATAAAAGGAGCTTCAAAAGGTTGTGTCACGGTAAGTATATCCTATAACTTCTTATATAAAAATCTCAGTAATGTCTCCCCATCTGATTGCTTAAAGACAAGCTGAAAATGGGCAATAAACATGCCAAAGTGGACAAGGGAAGGACCACAAGGCTTCAGCCCCACACAGAGCTACAGGCAACTAAGAATGCTGAGAGCAGAAGACACAGTCTTCCCCAGGGAAAAACACACTGTTTAGTTATCCAATACCAATGGTCTACTCAGAAAACAAGCATACAAGCAGCATTATACAGATTGAGCAGGTCATATTGAGAAATATATGTATATCTACATATACAGATATGCATGAAAACAATAATTAATGGACACAGAGACTATGAATTTGAAAGAGAGCAAGGAGGGGCATATGGAAGGATTGGAGGGAGGAAAGAGAACGGGGAAACGATGTAATTATATTATCTCCAAAATAAAAGAAAAACTATAAAAAATATTAGTGATCATTTTTTCCACTTTCAGAACAGTGTAAAGTTTGTTGTAGGCAAAAACTAGAACCAAACAAGAAACTACATAAAGACCACAAACAGTTTTGCATACCAAGACAGCAGCTGCTAATTTGGAATATATATAATTTCTTATTTCTCATATATGCATATAGATATAAAACAGTATTAGATGTATTATTCTGCAGTTTACTACACTTATATGAATTTAATTTACTTCCCCTTTCCACTTTGGGATGGATGTCTTTTAAAATTTCATTTGTCATCCATTTCAATTGCCCTAGTGTTTTTCTTTAATTATCGCTGGGTTTAAGTTGGCCACAGTAGTATCCGTTTATGGTCTCATTTGGGAGGCTGAGGTGAGACGGTCACCTGAGCCCACGAGCTTGAAACCCTGTCTCCAAACAAATTTATCTCTTATTTCAGGAAAGCAGTTTAATAAAAACATAGATTTACGTACATGAAGAAAGATTGAGAGAAATTCTGTAATATATAGCATTATGATGGGAGAACATGTAGATAGTGTTTAAAATTAAAACATATAGGAAGTAACAGAAGGGAAAAGAGTAAAAGTCTTAAAAAATTTCTTGGCCTTCAAGAAATATTTTATATGGATTCTTTTTCAGACAGAGTTTATGATTTTTTGTAACATAAATGAAAGAAATGTTTTTTGTCTTTCAGACATCAGAGTACTTACTATGTTAGACATTATTGTAATTAAGATAAATTTCTCACTATTATGATAGTTACTGTTTAGCTGGATTTGGAAACTAATGATGGGAAATTAGGTAAATTGGAGCCTCTTTCTTTAGTTGGTCATTTGTTTCTTTCTTCAGAGAGTGCAGCAGTAAATATAGTTTCTTTTTTAAAAAATGTTACCACTTATGATAATGAGAAAGGCTTACAAGGCACAAATGATGTTCAGAGAACTGTTCTGACTGTTGAAGGGTATTATATGTTAGGATTACAGTCAACTTTATTCTTGTTCAAATAGATAGATGATTTCAAGAACTGGATTTCTTTCAGTATCACTTTCTTACCTGGGCTTTAAAATTTAGCTGGAATGGATCAAATGTTGTTATAGTAAGCATGCAGAGCTGTAGATCAGTATCAGATTCTTGCCAGGTAGGTTTGGTAGAAGAAGAATATTTGATGGTAAGGGAAGGAAGAGAGAGTGTATGTTAAGAAAGTTGATACTAGGGACATCATGCTTCACTCTTTCTCATTAATTATGAAGTAGAAACAACAGAAGCAGAATTTGAACTCCAAACTCAGCACTTAGCCAGTATGCCTCTTTGCCTTATATTTGACTTCACTGGCCAACCCTGTGGAATATGAGTTTTATACTTTTAAAAATTATAATATGAACTAATTTTTAAATTAAGAAAATAAATGGAATACAAGTAAACTGGTATTGTTATTGAATATTTTGTTGCTTGCCTAGAACTCATAAGCTGTCAAAATTTGAGTTTTGTCTTGTGTTCACAAGTTATATCTCTAATATAGGCAATAATTTCATAAATGTATTGATCAGAAGAGAACTTAACCAAACAAGTATAGGCAGACTTACTTGTTAGGGAAAAGCAATCGTCAAAAGACAAATCTGATTTAGATAGTACATGGAAGGTTTTGTCTTGAGTACAATTATAAGTACAACACTTAAGCTGAGCACACATGCAGAAGACAGCCAGAGGAAATAGTTCAGTGAAGTAGAAGGATCAGAAAGAGCAAGGACCTCAGTCAGAAGGGAGTTTCCGAAAAGAACAAGGGAATGATCGCCGAGATAAAGGAAGATGGCGATGCTCAACGGAAAAGTTACTCAGCAGACAGCTGTGCTGAGACTTAACCTATGCCAGCCTTTGACAGGGCATCGTTGTTTTGAAGTCTGCTTTATTAGACTTCTCTAGCCATTCTTTGTTCAGCAGTTTTTTGTTGTTCCATTTGTGTGCAGTAAAAATAATCTGAGTTCAGTTAGTTTTCAAAGACAGAAGGGCCATAGTGGGTGGGGTATAGCTAAGTCTTCTGATACGTTTAAAGTCTCATTACAGATAGATAGGGCATTGGCACCTTCGTTTGATCAGTTGACTCCTGTGAGTTTGGTTAATCCCTAAGAGAATAGTCTTCTTTGGAGATAGCTGCCTTGTGTGGTCTTCTGGCATTTCTTCGGACATTGTCTTACCTCTTAAATTTTCAGAACACACTTTTGAAAAGTAGGGTTTTACCAATTTTTATAAACGAGTATTTTGGTAAAGTTACTTACACAGTTAAAGACTCTTAACCCTAAAACTAAGTCTTTATGTTGAAATAGTTCTTTGCTTTGATTCTTAGTACTTTTACTAAGTACTAAAAATTGAATAGTACTAAATACTCTAATACTAAGAAAATTGAGTAGAAATGCACTTGGAGTAGTAACTCATTTTTTGTTTCATATTTTTTTTTTTAGTTCACAACGAAGTATATTAAAATCCCATTTCAAGGTAAGCCATCTTCTCTTAATGACATTTTTTTGAGTAATTGATTAGAAAAAGTTAAAATGTTTTATAGTACCAAAAAGAACATATTAATTATTGTTTTAATGACTATAAATCAGATGATAATGAAGTACTCTTGTAAAAATTTGACAGCCCAATTATTTGATATACATGAAAATGATTAAGAACCAAAGGAAAAAAGCACATAAGCATAGACAGAGTTTTTTTTATGCTATATCTTATCTAAGTAAAGCAGAATGGAAATGTAACTACAGCTTAAATAGACGCAGACTGTTTTCTCATTCTTTTCCCCCAAAAAAAATTCCAGAATAGCCGGGCGGTGGTGGCGCACGCCTTTAATCCCAGCACTCGGGAGGCAGAGGCAGGCGGATCTCTGCGAGTTCGAGGCCAGCCTGGGCTACCAAGTGAGTCCCAGGAAAGGCGCAAAGCTACAGAGAAACCCTGCCTCGAAAAACCAAAAAAAAAAAAAAAAAAAAAATTAGTGATGAAAAATAATAACTGATAGAGAATAATCTCTTTAGAGAGTGAATTATAGAAAGAACAAGGAAGAAAAATGTACACACAGATAACACTTCAGATATCAACTAGAGTAAAAGAAGCTTTGTGGCGACATTGAAGATGCAATTGAAGCAACTTCAGTTCCTCAGCTCCTGAAAGTTCAGAATTGAGAACTCTGTTATGGTAATAAATCTATTGACTGGATTACCATTTAAGTAGTGAGAACATAAAAGCCACACAGTATCTTAATAGCCCTTGCTAGAAAACACTATTGTATTTAAGAACTAATTATTAAGAGCTAATGAAGTGTTATCCTTGTTGAGCTCGTGTTCAGGCAGTCACATTGGTAAGACTTGGTGGATGCGGCTTCTGACATCCATAGGAGACACACTCTCACAGCAAACTCCCTGGTCCTCTAGCTTTTACCGTCTTTCTGCCCCTCTCCCACAATGGTCCCTGAACCTTAGTGCAGGTGTTGTGTTGTAGATGTATCACTTGGGACTGGGATCCACAACTGCAGTTTGATCAGTTCTGAGTTTTCTGTGATGGTCTCTGTCTGGGGGTAAGAAATACACTTATCTGTGGGCATAAAGACAAATATTTAAAATGTAGTTAGGGACAGTGATGGTTGTAGGTTCTTTTTCCTCCAAGATCTGTGGCTTCACCAGCTCTGAATAGTTGGCTAGGTTTCTAGAACCAGGCATGCTTTCCCTCTTGGTGCAGCATCATAAGTCCTTTTAGAGAGCTGTTGGTTACCACCAAGGAATGCATGCCACTGCTTCACCCTTTGGATTATTGTGCCATGCTGGTAGTCATTGTGGTTCATAGGCATCATAGCTGGGTTGGACTGTTGGGTGCCTCCCTCTTTTGGAAGCCTGCATGGTGGCTTCTGGTACCATGAGAGCTAGTCCTCAGGGAGGAAGCATTCAGGTCCATTCAGCTCAGGGGCCTTTGGACCCTGTGTCTGTAGCTGAGGTTTTCCTGGTCCTACCTGGCTTCCATGGTCCCATAGTCCCATAGCCGCTCAGACCCAAATGAACACACAGAGGCTTATACAATTAAAACTGCTGGGCCATTTAGCTCTGGCTAACTACTAACTAGCTCTTACACTTAAACTCAGCCCATTTCTGTTCATCTATATGTCACCACATGTTCAGTGGCTTTACCTGTGTGCCACTACATGCTGCTCCCTGGACTGTGGACTGACGTCTCCTGACTCAGCCTTCCAGCCTTCCCACAATTCTCCTTGTTTGCTTATCCCGCCTATACTTCCTGCTTGGCTACTGGCCAATCAGCATTTTATTTATCAACCAATCAGAGCAACACATTCACAGCATACAGAGCGATATCCACAATATATGTCTGATGTGCATGATGTCTTCAGCAATCTGGACTTACCTTACCTCTCCGGGGCAGCTAAGGGCAATAGCCTGTAATGTTTTGGGATTCCCTTGGACAGCTCTGACCAACAACTCTAAGAAGGTTTTTCATCCTTGGTGTTGGGGTTTTTGTTTAGATGGTCTTTGGGTCTCGGAGGGAGCATTGGCAATCCAGATAGAAAGTTTCATTTACACTATATATGTATATTTGTACATAGACTTTTTATGCATTATAGGGATTTTGAGATTGGTAGTTAATATGATTCTTTATGACTTTTTCAGATGTCCTTACTGTAATTTTACCCCCTCCTTCCTCTGAATTTATCTTCCTCCCTAATTAGAGTCCCTCTGTTTCCTCATTTTCTCCTTCACTTGTTCTAACCCCTATCGCCCTCCCACAATGATCCCTTTTCACTTTCCTGCTTCTGCAATGACTCCAGGCTGTGCACTCACTTGTGAAGATTTGAAACTAGGAGCCTTCAATAAGAGACAACATGCAGCCTTTTTCTCTCTGAGTCTGGTTACCTCACCCAATAGGATCTTTTCTAGTTCTGTCTATTTTCCTGCAAAGTTCAGGAGTTTTTTTTTCCAGCTGCATAGTGGTCCATAGTGTATATGCACCACACTTTGGTTATCCATTTGTTGGCTGTGGGGCATTTAGGTTGTTTTCATTTCCTAACTATTGTGAATAGAGAAAGCAATGAACATGGCTGGGCAGGAATCTGTGAAGAACGATGTCAAGTTCTCTCAGCACATGTCAAGAAGTTATGCCATAATTTCTTTACTGTCCACCTCTTTTTTCAGATGAATTATTATTATTTATTTTTTTGAGATTATAATAAAATTACATCATTTTCCTCCTCTGTCCTCCCTTCAACCACTTCAATGTACCCTCTTTCTCTCTTTCAAATTCATGGCCTCTTTTTATATAATATAATATAATGTAATGTAATGTAATGTAATATATATATAATATATAATCCCTAAGTATGTCACTACAACTTGTCTAGTCCTTGTATTGTTACTTGTATGTCTGTCTTCAGGACTGACCACTTGGTATTGGATAACCAGTTGGTGTGTTCTTCCTTGGGGAAGGCTGTTTCTCCCACTCTCCTCATTCCTTCGATGACAATTTAAATTTCTCCTTTGGCAATTTCACACATATTCCTCCTCAGATTTCTTCTGGGCATGGTGCTTCATCACAGCAATAGAAACCCTTACTAAGCTATACAGTATATCAAGACGTGTCAGAGATGGTGTATGCCTGAATAGACTACTTTTTAAAATTGCTTGTTTTATGTCTTTCAGTGTCCATGAATGAGATTTCACTATCAGTGGACACCACACACTTAAAGAGGTTTGGGTTATGGAAAAGCCAGGATGATGATCACAGTAAGAAGAGCCAGGCTATCCTTTTCCTCTGGGTTTCCTCGAAGTACCTTCAAGAGATTCAGACCCAGTTAGAAAACCCCATATTAAGCCAGCAATGTGAGTATAAAGATCATTCCTAAATTTCAGGAGAACCTCAAAGCCTATATGTGAAGTCATTTTTTCTAAGATAACTTAATAAACTATCTTTATTTCATTGGATTGAAATTAATTTCATTGAATTAAAAACGTTATCCATTAATATTAGATAAATTATTTTACTTAGTCATGTGGTTTTGCCTGGTAATTTTATTCAGTTATGGAAAATTATCATTAGAAATGAGAAAAATACCTTTAAAAAAGTCTTAAATGTTGTTTACTTTGAAGATAAGACATTTCTGTACCATTAAAACTATATTTTAGTCAGTTATCTTTGGCTATATTCTTCTTTTGACTTGTTACTTTACTTAGAATATAAAACAATTGTTTTATTATAGCATTTTCATATTTAATGTACTCTGTTCATATTTGCACTCCGTTTCCCATTCTTCCTTCCCTCTCCTGCTGGCCCCCTTTTCACCTCAAAATAGTCCGCTTCTGCTTTTATGCCCTGTGTACATGGCAGGTGCATCACTGATAACATAGAAGAGTTACTGACTTTCATATGTTGGTTTTGTATGCTGCTCATTCGATGAAAGTCTTTATTAGATCTAAGATTTTTCTGGTGGGATATTTAAATTTTAAGATCACGTCACCTGCAGTGAAGATAATTTGACTTCTTCCTTTCCTGTTATTATCACTTTTATTTTTTTTCTCTTGCCTTATTGCTCTAGGTAAGACTTCATTCCCTAGCCTGACAAGGGTGAAGAGAGCACCCTTACCTTATTTCTGATTTGAGGGGTTCTCTCCATGTTCCTATGTATGTAGCTTTTATTGTGTTGAAGAATATTCTTTTTATTATTGGTTTATTCAATCCAAAAGGATGTTGAGGGTTTTTTTTTTGGTCAAAGCCTTTTCTGCTTCGATTAACATGATCCCGTGATTTCTGCCCTTAATATTAATATTTTTGTGCAGTTGTATTACAGTTACTAATTTGCATATGTTGAACCATCCTTGTCTCCATGGAATATTATCAGCATGGTCATGCTGTATGAGTTTTATCAGGGTGGTCTGGAATTCAGTTTGCAGGGACTTTTTTGAGTGATTTATGTCTATGTTCACTAGAGAATTTGGTGTATGGTTTCCTTATGTGTTGTACTCTTATCTGGTATTGAAACCAGGATGATCCTGGCTTGAACAATGAGTTAAGCAGTGTTCCTTCTCCCTTTCTATTTTGTAGAGTTCTCTGAAGAGCAGTAGTGTTGATTTCTCCCTCCCTCCCAGTGTGTGTGTGTGTGTGTGTGTGTGTGTGTGTGTGTGTGTGTGTGTGTGTGTATACCTGTGTCTATATGCCCTATGTGTATAGGTAGGTGCCCATGGAGGCCAGAAGAGTGTGTCAGATCCCCTGGATTTTGAGTTTCAGGTCGTAGTGAGCTTGTTGATGTGGTGTTCGGAACCAAACTCAAGTTCTCTGGAAGGGAAGAAAATACTCTGAACTGATGAGCCATCTTTCTAGCTCTGTTACACATTTTTTTTTTTTAAATGGTCTGGAAGAATAGGGCAGTGAATCTGAATGATCCTGTGCTTTTCTTTCTTGGGATATTCCTTAGTATTTTTTCAGTCTTGTTGCTTGTGGTAGATCTTGTTAATTTTAAAAAATATTATATCTTCTTGAATTATCTTTGACAGGTCATACTTATCTAGAAATTTGTTCATCTCTTCTAGATAGTCCAGGATTTTTGAATGGATTTTCTTTTTTCTTTCTTTTTCTTTTTCTTTTTTTCTTTTTGGTTTTTTTGAGACAGAGTTTCTCTGTGTAGCTTTGCGCCTTTCCTGGATCTTGCTCTGTAGACCAGGCTGGCCTCGAACTCACAGAGATCCGCCTGCCTCTGCCTCCCGAGTGCTGGGATTAAAGGCGTGCACCACTACCACCTGGCTAGAATGGGCTTTCAAAGTATTCTCTAAAGGTCATTGGATTTCATAGTTATCTTTTTGTAACAGTTCTCTTTTTATATTTAATATTATTAATCTATGACTTCTCTTTGTTTTGATCAGGTTGACTAAGTATTGCTGAGCTTTCTTTTTTCTTTAACTTTTTTTTGCATTTATTTATGTGTGTGTGCAACACACACACACACACACACACACACACACACACACACACACACACACGTACCCTACAATGCCTGTGTGGAGGTCAGAGAACACCTTTTGAGAGTCACTTCTCTTCTTGCACTGTGTGGCTCCTGGGGATAAAGCTCATCCCCCCAGGCTTGGTGGTACCTTGGTGGTACCCTCCTTCTCTCTTTACCCCTGGAGTCATCTCACTGGTCCCAGTCTTTAGTTTGTCTAGGCACCGACTCTCTCCTTGGTTCTCTGCACTGTTCTTTACTGTCTGTCGAATGAAGTCTGCCCTGGTCCTTGCTTCTTCTCATCTGCTGCTTTTTGGTTTGGCTTGTTCTTGTTTCCTGAGGTTTTCAAATGCACTATTGCCTTGTTTATTTGCGATCTCTCTGATTTTTTAAATTTAATATAAGAACTCATTGCTGTTTCAGATAAGTTGTGTTTTCATTTCATTCGACTCTAGGAATTTACAATTTCATTTCTGCCTGATTTCTTCCAGTGACTCAGTGGTTGGTCACTCAAGAGTGTTTAGTCTTCAAGTATTTGAGTTTCTCTCTTGCTCTGGATTTATAGTTTTATTCATCTTGTGATCTGATCTGATCTGCTGCAAGAAATTATTTTATTTCTTTTGTATTTATTAAGACTTACTTTATGGGTTTTACTTAAGAGAAAGTTACATTATCCTTGGTTACTTTTCCTAAGAGATTTTTTCCCCATTATTTCATCATGAACTCTGCCATAATTAGTAACAAATTAAATAAATTGTAGATATCTTTATGTTCTATATTTTCTCGGTTTTGATAAATGAGTTCAGCTTATGTACATAACAGACTTCTAAGACTTGGGTGCTTTTCTGGGTGTTCTGATAGCACACATAGCTGCATATATGTATCTTGAAATACCAACTTTGTTTATTTCTCAACTCCCAGCGGTATCTGGTTTAGAATTAGGTAAAGTTAGTAATATTTATCCTTACCTCTTTGATCTCGTTCTCCCCTCTAGTTTTTTATATTATACTAGATGTTATAGGGAGTTAAATTTTATACTCATAAAATTAATAGTTTCCTCTTCTAATTACATACAATAGAGAAATTCATAATCAGATAACAAGAGGCTGTGGAATTGTGGATGAGTTGATAATAATTTTGTGTGTGATTATTATTGAAATGGTTGGTTAAAATGAGAAAGGACATATTTAATCAGAATGCTCTTTTAGTTGACAGGTGGATCTATGGCGGAGGCCAGAGTAAAATAAATAATGCCTCAATTATCATTCATTCATTTATACACTCATAGAAAATACTTGTTAGCACTTTTAAATGCCAGGTACAGCAGATGGAGCAGTCAGTATTGTTTGGAATTTTCATTCCAAATGAAAATGAATAGAAGTAGAATAGGAGCCTAATAATTGTGAATTTGGGTTTTTGATTACTAGCTATCTACTGTAGAATTTAAACTTGTCTGTTATTATCTAACATACAAAATACTCAGTTGGATTTTACATAAAATCCTTACTGTCACCCACAATTAGATTAATTGTAATCATCTTTTTAAAAAAGTATTGATAAAAATTGGTTTCTTTTTCTTTTATAGCAAAAGCCGGTGAATTCATTTTCCTTGAGTTAAAAAGTTCCATTTCACAAACAGAAGAATTGAAATTGAAAGATATTATGATGGAAATAAGTACGACCAATGGAGAATCGGAACTCTCTTACCCATTGTCTTGGGTTCAGGCGTTTCCTTTGTTCCAGGACTTCTCTCCAAAAGAAAGCTCTTTCATTCATTATTACTGTACTTCCACTTGTTCTTTCACCGATACAGCTGCTGCTGATACGGAATCGAAGAGGAAGTCACTGTCTCAGGTTAGCATACGATGAACACGGTTGACCGAGGAGAGAGTGAAAGTCGTGTCTCTGGTTAAAATGCTGTTGTGTTAGAAGGACACAGGAACACAAAAGAATTTCCAGGGTCAACGCTGGAAAGTTTCTCCAACAAAATCAGTAGCTATAGGATGAGATTGTAACCAAAGGACCACATAGACATCCCTGGGTCTATACTGATGTAGATATGGAGTAAAGAATTGAATGAATTAATAAGTGGTGTGGACAATTATTCGAGTAGAATTCAATAATTGTAAAAAAAAAAAATAAAGAAAATACAAAGTCACAACTAAAACACTATATTTATGGTTGTTGCTGGCTGCCAGGTTCATGAATTTAATGGGTGAAAACTCATGGAGAACTAGCATATGTGTATAACCTCAAGTCCCATACCCTAAATATTCATTAAGTTAGAAAATGAAAGGTAGTACTCTGTAGTGGAGAGACCTGGCAGATGTCACCATAGCCAAGTGAGTGTAGTTAACATTGTCTGCAGTAAGGCATGCCCCTCACACTGAGCAGGGCAAACCACTTCTGTAGTCTTCTTCTCAATAATGTATAACCCAGACAAGAAAAGACAGAATTGTGGGATCCTGAAATAGAAAAAGGACATTAGTAGGAAAAGTGGTGAAATCAGACTAAAGTCTCTCTGGGTTGCTTTTTTACTTTTGATAGTCAGATTTTACTGATTTCTGAGATTAAGCTTAGGAGGATATAGATAGGGTTTTTCTTTTTTTTCAAAATTCTGTAAGTCTAACATTAGCTCAAAACCATAATAATAAAAAATGTTATGTTTAGAGATCTTTTAGACGGCTTGTTGGGTAAAGCGCTTGTTGTGCAAGTTTCTGGAACTCACAGAAAGCTAGCAGAAGAGAACCAACTTCCACACACATGCTATGGCTCATGCATGCCCATACATAAGCATCATAAACACACATGCACAGTGTTAATAGTAAATAAAAGAAATAAAAAATGTTATGCCTTTCTGTAGATTGATAATATACTTGTGACTTGTAGAACTGTCAATTATGTCTAGAAGGAAAAATATTTTCTAAGTAGCTATGGCACACACATTTATTCACACATAGAGATATGTATATAAGTGTATTCTAAGGCTCTTCTACTCAAAAAACCCATAGATACTCATAATAGTATTAGGTGAAGCAGAAAACTTAGCTATATCACATATACAAATTTATATATTACTCTTAATTTAATAATAGAATATCAGTTATGATATAAGCTCAGTCTCCTTTAACGTAAAATTTTATTTTTCCCTAGTATTAGCTACCTGTTTTATTTTGAACCACAAAGTTAAATTCTTTTTTAATTGTGGAACTCATACCTGGAATAGGACTTTAGGTTAAACTTTAGCCCATGTATTGTATATGAAATCTTTTGATTAAAAAGTAATTTTTCTCATTCGATTATATATGTAGAGCATATACATGTTTAAAAGTGTAGTTGTTACTCTTTGATATACATTTCTTTTAGTTACAAGTCTAGATTTGACCTCTGTGTTTTTCAAACCTAATGTTTGTTTTTATGTACTCATCAGAGTCTTTTTCTTCCAGCTCTCCAATACAGAGACCATCAAGCCTACGTACACTTTCCTGCAGAAACAAAGTAGTGGTTGCTACTCACTTTCTATTACTTCAAGTCCAGACGAAGAATGGCGAGAAGTCAGGCACACCGGACCCGTTCAGAAGTAGGAGCTGCGTCACATTGTGACTGTAGCAGTGTCGTAGTGGTTGCTCATACTGTGCTGCGGCTTTGAAGCAGTTTCCCTGCTGAGATGATTTGAGTTTTACTTTCATGCCCCTGCCTAGTGATGGAAATAATTTTGTTTATGAGGCACATATAAATTATCAAGGAAATAATAGGTGTCATTTAATTTAATTTTGTGTCTGTATGGAAAAAATGACTCACCACAATTTGGAAACATTAAAGAGCTTATTGAAAATCTTGGAATAGCAATGTATGGTTTTGGAAATTGTACCTCTTATAGATTAATATATGAAAAGGAAATGAATTTGCTTATTAAAATATTTCTCAGTTTAGGTACTTTGGTGTTTATTTAAGTTCTCTGTTTAAATCTTGATAGATTAAATTTTATATGTTTTCTGTTTGTGGTAAGGCAGAGTATTCTGTACATTGGAGATTACTTCTATAACTCTGAATATTTTTCCCTCCTTTTTTTAAGCAATTGAAAGCACAGGATAAGGCAGTAACTGGTTACATAGAAACTATCAAATTAGATTTAATTTTTTCAGTTTTCTTGTTAAGTACTTTGGTATCAAGAAGAAATCAACTGTGGACAGCACTTGGTTTCATGATGTTTTTCTGGTATAAGCATTATAGCTTTATTAAATTACTACATTTGCCCATCAAGTGATGCCCTAACGATTCCAAGGTTATAGCCGGAAGTAATTCACTTCCGGCATTCTCTCTGACTTTTAAGGGGGGGGGTGACAGGAGAATGCTTCTGAGCTGTCACTTGTCCTCTGCCACTCTCTGGTTATGATCTGATTGTTTCCTGTATGTTCTGTTAAGTTTGCACTGTAAGCACTTTCCTAGGGAAATGTATTATTCCCTAAGGTTCCATTATGCACCTCCCGGCCACCAGAAAGACTGAACGGTTTTTGAGTGCTGGCTTTTCTGAAAGAAAATCTTAGATTCAAATTTAGAATTGCACATTGGAGCATTAGGAAATTTTTGCTTTATTACAGCCATTGTTGAAAGTTAAAAATTATGTAAAAGAGAGAGAACCTTAAGGGTATTGTAACTGATCGTAAGATATGCCCTTTTGCCTAGATGTGTATTAGACGTTAGTCTTCTGGGACTAGCCCCATGGGAGTTAATGGAAAGAAAAAGCTAATAGCCAGCATATCATAGGAGATTTATGAAAATGTAGAAAAGTATAATCGGTTATGTTTTAGCAGATATTTTACCATATAAAATTTAGCTATGGATATTATTGCCTAGTAGCTATTTTATAAAAATCTCTTAATAATATATTAATATAATTTTTATAAATATATTACATGTTATATATAAATAAATATATTTTATATAATATAATAAGTTATATTTTAACTTTATTTTTATTTTTTAAAGGTTGATTGTTTATCCTCCACCACCTACCAAGGGGGGCTTGGGAGTAACTAATGAAGATTTAGAGTGTTTAGAAGAAGGAGAATTTCTTAACGATGTAATCATTGACTTTTACCTTAAGTAAGTACAATAATGATCTCATTTGTTTTATAGGTTTTATTGTACAAGTTTTTTTTTTTTTTCAGTTGTACTTGGGTTTGAACCTAGAGCCTTGTGCATAGTAGGGAAAGCCTGGGATTGAACCTAGAGCCTTGTGTGTAGTAGGAAAGCCTGGGATTGAACCTAGAGCCTTGTGTGTAGTAGGAAAGCACTCTGCTATTGAGCTGTACCCCTGCCTGAAAATAAGTGTCTTGTCCAAATTATTTTCAATCCTAGTCAGGAGTACCTGGCAAGCTTTCCGATTCAGAAAGCCTTTTGCCTACCAGAATTTTACTGCGGTCGACTAACTCGGTTGCCTTCTCTCACCATCTGTAGACACTACACTGCGCAGAAAAGTGACTGCCTGCTGTTTTGGCTTAGTTTTTAAAACGTGTTGGGTTTTGGATGTGTACTTTTTGAACACTGTGTATTGTGGTAAAGGAAGTATTTACAAAATCCAATACACTTTGGGAACGGAAAAGAAACAACTCTGTTCAATTATCTTTTGTCACTGCGCTAGAGGTGGTGGGACCTGGGAGAATGGAGCTGATAAATGAGGCTGACTAAAGTCTCATGCAGTAGCCAACTTTATTCAGAGCATCACTTTATACTCTGAGGGTTAAGAATGGTCACCTGAGTAAAGGTCAAGCTGTATACAATCACAAGAGCAAGCCACACTCGGCAAAACATGTTTTTCCATAGAATATATAAAGGCTAGTTTAAACATTTACTTGAATAACAACAGCAAGCAATAATCAGTAATCTGAAGTAAACTGAGTCCCATCTGCCACACCTGGGAGGAGCATGAAAACACATTCCAAGAACAAGTCCGTGTTTTTGGAGAAACAGGTCACTAGACTCCTGTCTTGTTTTCTTGGAGTGTTCTCACAAGCGTGGCTCTTCTCCATTCCTGGACTGTGTTCTGACCACCTTTGACATCCTAACAGTTGACTGTCACTTAGAAAAATCCATCATGAATGCAGTAAAATTTTAACTTAAAAAAGTCAGCTTGTTGAACAGAGAAAGCTTAAGGAATAGCTATATGAAAGCTAGGTGTGGGGGTACAGCCCTTTAATCTTGGCACCCAGGAGGCCAGGCTGGGCTGTATGGTACACCTCTGTCTTAGTAAACCCAAACAAAGTCTAACTAAAATAAAAAAAAAAAAAAAAAAAAACCAAAACAAGAACACCAGGGGTTGAGGATTTAGCTCAGTGGTAGAGCGCTAGGCAAGCGCAAGGCCCTGGGTTTGGTCCTCAGCTCTGAAAAAAAGACAATAAAAAAAAAAAAAAAAAGAACACCAATAATTCCCAAAGCCTTTTCGCATGAAGGAAATTTGTTTTTACCTTTCATTTTGTACTATATCCCTGTACTAAAAATTCCTAACACTCAATTGAAAGATCTAATTTTTTAAAGATCACTTTTAAATGAATTTATCATTTAGATTCATTTTTATTCACAATTTTATTTTATTCTAGTCACAAAGACTCAGAATCTCATATTTTTACATATTAAATAGACATAGGCTTTAAAGTCTCCAAAAATTCAGTTTGAGTCTTTTTTTTATATCTTCCACATGGGAATACAGTTCTGATAACTTCATGTATTTTTCTTTGGTCTGTGTAAATTATGAATTGGCATCAGTTGCTGGTTTTTCTCTTTTTTTAGTTTCTCTGTGTAGCCCTGGCTGTACTATAAATCGCTCTGTAGCCCAGGCTACCCTCAAACTCACAGAGATCCACCTGTCTCTGCCTCCCAAGTCCTGAGATTAAAGGCACCATCACTGCCAGGCCATTTTTCTCTTCTTTATGAGTCACGTTTTGTAGCTTTGAATGTTTGATTTTTATTGATGATTGAGTATTGTTGCATTTCTATAAATGTTTTAGTTTTCTGAGACACGGTTACATTATCTGGAAGTAGTCTGGTAGTTTTAAGTCTTATCTTAAAGATACAGTTATCTTTATCATTTGCTAAAATGAGGCCAACAAACTAATTCCTGTTCCCAAGGAGAGATTCTCCTGAGTACTTGGTCCTGTGTCGTGAATGGTGACATTGCCCAGTTTTACTGGCAGGAATAGATAGTTCATCTGAGTGAATCTGGCTACCATTCCCTGTTTCTAACTTGAGTACTTCCCTCACCCCCCGCCCCCACACCAGTGCCATCCTGAAGATGTGAGGAGCTGCAAGCTGTCCTGAGTTCTCTGTCTCTACCCTTTTTTCCTTTCCTGTACTTTGATCTGTACACTTCAGCCTCTGAAATTATTAAACTATTAAAACTGAGTAGACTATCAAGAATAGCAGTTTATTGATTATGAAAGATATAATCAGTAAGTGATTGAGTTATAAAGCGACACTGAAGAATTTTAGTATGGAAATAGATGAAGAATTTAAGCTGGGACTACTCCAGTACTACTAAATGTTTTCCAGACTTATGTGTGTCATAGTCTTACATTAATCACACTCATGTGATTATTTGGTCAACATTTCCTTCTATTTTGACGTCTTTAGGCTGCAGATACCACCCTTCTGCTGTGTCTCCAGTGTGAATGTGGTACTAATACATGTTAGGAATTTGGTAAATATTTATTAAATAAGTGGGCAATTTCTACTTTAAGTGATTGTTTTTGATAAGCAAGAGATAAAACTAAAAGAGAAGCTGAAAGCCCAAATCATAGAAAAATGCAAAATTTCTTTGAATTTAGCTAGCTGGATATGTAACAGTAATTTCTAGTTCTTTTTTCTTTCCTTTTCTTTTTCTTTCCTTCCTTTCTTTCTTCCTTCCTTTCTTTTTTTTGGGGAGGGGGGTTTCGAGACAGGGTTTCTCTGTGTAGTTTTGATGCCTGTCCTGGATCTCACTCTGTAGACTAGGCTGGCCTTGAACTCACAGAGGTCCCTGGCTCTGCCTCCCGAGTGCTGGGATTAAAGGCATGCGCCACCACTGCCTGGCAATTTCTAGTTCTTAAGAGGTAACGGAAGAAAATGAGATAAAATCTAAACACAATTTCCTTTGTGGGCTTGCTACTTTACAGGTATCTTCTACTGGAGAAAGCATCAGATGAACTTGTTGAACGAAGTCACATTTTTAGTAGCTTTTTCTATAAATGCTTGACAAGAAAGGAAAATAATTTAACAGAAGATAATCCAGATCTCTCGTAAGTTGTCTATTGTAATTGAAGTCTTAAAGGAGTTTATTGTGTGTGTATGGGTGCATCATGCATGTGAAGGTCAGGGTGCAATTTGAAGGAGCACATTCTCTCCTACCACGCGCATCCTGGGGACTGAACTAAGTCACCAGGCTTGGCAGCAGGTGCCACAGTCGACTGAGCCAGCTCTCTAACTCTTAAGTTTGGAGACAAAGAAGACTGCTGTTTTCATGCTCCTGGTGAAGTGGCTTCATTGTAATAATCCCAAGAGCAAGCATATTAACACTTTGGCAGGTCACTGGTTTGTCAGGTGCAAGAACCATTTCTTACCTTTCACTGTTCGCCCCATAAGGAGGAGGCTGGTTCTTGCAGCTGCATTTTCAGTTGCATGACCAGTGTGGGTAGGTACTAGAGGTTACGAGAGCAAGAAATAAAAAAGCCAGACTGTTTCTTCCCTACCCTTTTTGCTTTGGATGTGATTTACCAGAGGTCATATTTCCTCGGGCTGTAGCTCTTGCTGGAGATGGCTGCTGTCCCTATAACTTCCACTGGGGGGCACTGCTGCTTTCCTTGATGTCCACCCTGGGGCTCTAGCAGTGCCCACTGTGCCTCACTGGCCTTTTTAAAGTGTGTACTCTGCGTTAGATTCTGTTAACAAAGACGTAGGGCTGTGTGGTTTGTTTGTTTTTCTGGTTAGTTCCTTGCTGACATGTTACTTTTTCATTAAGTTAGTATTAGATAATATGAAAACCATGCTTATTTGCACAATTTTGCTAAATTTCTCTATTCAGTATTTTTTTAAAAATATTTTTGATTAAGAATGAAAGCTGTTGAGCAGTGGGTAGGACTAGGTAAAAGTGAAGAAGTGGTTACTATTTATTAGATAGTAGAAACTCAGATAGTTATTGTAGCATAGACTTTCATAAAACCTGCCTTGTGCCCAGCAATTTATATTAGAACCCAATGAATAGGTCCCTGAACTTTTATTTTTTTAAACATCTGTCTTCTAATTTATAAATTTCCAGGGTACAGTTTTTTTTATTCATTTCCTTTCTCCATATTACAGTGCTTTTAGATACATAGGACACATATAGAATATCCCAATTCTTTGTCTATATGTATGCCTGTATATGCCAGTGCCTATGGAGGTCAGAAGAGGGCATCAGGTACCATGGAACTGGAATTACACACAGTTCTGAGCTGCCATATGGGTGCTGGGATTTGGAACCCAGGGCCCCTGGAAGAGTAGTCAGTGCTCTGAGACATCTCTCCAGCCCCTATTCTAACTCTTTAAATGAAAAATGAAATTGGCTAATTAAGGATTGGATATTTAGAAAAGGACAAATAGCTAGGGAGTAGTAGGCCTGGACTTAAATCCTTATTTTTAATTTCTAGTCCAACATTTTCAATGCCTTAAAAATGATGATGCTGGCCAGGCAAAGGTGGCGCATGCCTTTAACCCCAGCACTCGGGGCTCAGAGCCAGGCAGATCCCTGTGAGTTTAAGGCCAGCCTGGTCTACAGAGCGAGATCCAGGACAGGCACCAAAATTACACAGAGAAAACCTGTCTCAAAAAAAAAAAGATGATGCTGGGCGTGGCACGATGACTTAGCAGGTAAAGGCACTTGCTGTCAGGCCGATGACCCATATGGTAAAAGGTAAAACTGACTCCTCCTGCAGGTTGTCCTCTGACCGTCATATGGGTGCATGGCATGTGGACCATATGTATACCTGCTCACACACATACATACATCAATAATAAAAATTTAAAAGTCAAACATTAGAAATAATAATTGTGATTGTTAAATGAATATGCTTTTTGAATTTGTTATATATTTTGATAAAAAGAATAAGAAAATAGAGGATGAATAGTCATTGATTGCATGCTTTGAAGTCAAATGGTAAACAGAATTATTTAACTCTAATATTTTTGTAAGGTAAATAATAATTTATAATAATGTAAAATAAATGATTATTTATAATAATCTTTATTAATGGAAACTAAAATAAATAGGTTAGTTATACACAGTTGAATACAATTTTCAGGTTCCAAAGTTGAGTTATTTCTGTTGTTGTAGTGTTGTGACATAATTTATGGTCTGAATTGGGACATTTGTGAAGATAATAGAAGGTTCTTTTAATAGTATACACTAGATAACTAGTATATAGAGGCTGTCTTTGACAGACTGGGATTATGGTCAACTTTAAGTGGCTTTTTTGGTTTAGGTCTTGTATTGATGGGCAAGGCCTGTCAAAATCAAAGAGAAAAATCCAATTTGAAAATATTTCTGATAATCAGGCTTAGCAGAAGGCATACAGAAGGAAAATGTTATTGATGAATATATTATTTATAATTTCTGATGCCCTACAGTTCTATTTTGTGTATACAGAGATTAATAATTGGGATAGTGCAAGTAATTCCACATTATAAAATTACAATGTAGAAATTGTAATTGCCTTAAAAATGATGATACTGGGCTTGGCGTGATAACCCAGCACATAAATTGGCATACTCATCTTCAGTGTGAGGAGGGGGAAGGTCGATCCTGCTGTATTACTAGGTTTGAAAAAGCTCTTGTATTTATCTGATCATACATAAAATTAATAACAATGTTACATGAATGGTATATTATAGTGTAGGAAGGGTGACATAACACGTAGGAGTGCATACCCACACACACACAGACACACACACTCACACATGCCCCCTATTAGGTGTGTTTAGTCTGATATATTCATATATGTGTTGAACATATATGTCTCTTGAACTCACAGAGATCCGCCTGCCTCTGCCTCCCGAGTGCTGGGATTAAAGACATGCTCCACCACTGCCCGACATTTGTATATATCTTAATAATTAGTATTCACAAAAGAATCCATACAAATTATTTTTAAAAAGACATAATCTAAAAGCAGTTTAACAAGAGAGGAACATTTTAGTATCAATTCATAACACAAGGCCAAAATTACTAGTGTTAAGACTGTAGGATAAATGGCATACATACTCATTACTATGCAAGTTTGGATTTTTGTATTCTCCCTAAACTTATTTCACAACACAACATTTGCTCATCTGTAGTCAAGCTACCTCTTCTCAGTTTTCAGATATGTTCAGCCATTACATATTTTCTTCTGAAATCTCTTCTAGCACTTGTATTTCACAGCAAGAGCTCTATAATCATGCTGTTTTCCTATTATCTTTGTTTTCTGTGAGGCCAGCGCCATCTCCAGTGACTTACTCAGTGCTTGGTGTTGTGGAATATTACTTTAGCTATGTAAAGGTGTGTTGCATTTGTTTACATTGTATTTGTTTAACTAGGCAAAGATGTGTTACATTTGTTTATGCTGCATTTGTTTATCAATGTAAAGATGTGTTGCCTTGCCTGCCTAAGGCACCTGATTGGTCTAATAAAAAGCTGAATGGCCAATAGCTAGGCAGGAGAGGGATAGTCAGGGCTGGCAAGAAGCGAGAATAAGTAGGAAGAGGAATTTATGCTTGAGAGTCGAGAAGGAGAGAATGAGGGAGAAAGAGACGAAGACACCTGGGGTCAGCCAGCAAGACATGGAGTAGGACATCCAGAAAGAAAGGTAGAAAGCCCCAAGGCAAAACGTAGATGAAGAGAAACAGGTTAAATTAAGTTATGAGAGCTAGCAAGAAATAAGCCTAAGCTATGGCTGAACATTCATAATTAATATTAAATCTTCATGTCATGATTTGGCAGCTGGCCCAAAAGCAAGTCTGCTACAGCTTGGAACATAATAGGAAGTCAAAACAGAGAATGGCAGTAATGCCTATCACTAAGTAGAGAGAACTGTTAGATATTTAATTGGAGGTATTTTACACAGTTAAGAACTGAGAAAGAGACCATGTATAGCCTCCATAGTTTTTCTTTATTTAGTGTTGTATGAATGTTTGCATACACGTGTGTAGGGAGGTCAGAGGACAGCTTTCAGGAGCTGCTCCTCTCCTTCCACTCTGGAGTCTGGGGATTGAACTTAGGTCATCGGGCTTGTACAGCAAGTACTTTTATCTGCCATCTCACCCGCTCCTAGCCCTTGGATTTGCTCCTGTCATCCTTGCTTCACTCTGTCTGATATATTCCCAGTAAGGTTGCTTAAATATGAAGTCTGCTAAACACCAGCATAACAAAACAAACTAGGTGTTCATCTTTGATGTTCTCAAATAGAGAACAGGTTGGTAGTTTATATACTAGTTGAAGTAATTGTTCCTAATTTTATGTAATTATTGAGTTAAAATGAAAGCATTCAATAAACATACTTCTGATTATTTTACTTATAACAGTTAGTTTTTGACATGGTGTTTATTCTGTCATATCTTTTTAGCTCATTCTGGATTTTCTCTTAGTCCTAATGTTTACTCACAGGGTTAGATATTGTCCAGATGAACAAGGTGGGACAAAGATGTGTGCTGCTTATATCACTTGATACATAGTATGTAGAGATTGAAGACTTCCGTCTGAGGCACCGAGCCAGAAATCAGAAATCTCCTTTGTGCCATTTTAAGTGCTCATTTTATTTGTAGATTTTTTTACATCCAAAATTGGTTTGCTATAACCTTCCCTACCCCCGATGGTTAAAAAAAAATAAGCATAACAAATATGTGTGTGTGTGTGTGTGTGTGTGTGTGTTCAAGGTGGCTCTTCTAGATGATTTGATAGAATTCTTTGTATCCTTTTTTGGCATTGTGTTTTAGTTATTTCTTGTGTGGTTTTTTTTTTTTTTTACCTTTAAATTGTAAATTTGTTTCAATCAATTCAGGTTATTTTCATTGTTCGTTCTTTGGAAATGAATCAATATCTGCTGCAGAACTAAAAGGAGAATGGATTAGGATCAGTAGGTACCCTTAGCCTTGTCCTGTAATTTCCTTATGTGTGAAATGAAGGGAGATGAAGTTTATGTTTTAAAATTAAAGTTAAAAAAAAAAGCCTCATTTTTCTCCCTGATTAGGTTTTAATACTTAGCACAGAGAGAACAGTTGGGTAACTTTGTTAAGGTTTGATGATACTTTACATAATCCCTAAGTGGAGCAAAGCAGATGGAATTAGGTTTGAACATGTTTATGCTCAGTTGCTGAGCCCATTTGGAATCTACAAAGCATTTAGCAATGCTTTCCTCTGTTTATTCTACTACTGCTTATGGTAATCAGATGTAAGAACAATCAAATAGAGTTCTGGTATGTTAAGTTGATACATTGAATACAGTGGTTTAATAAACCTTACAACTTTTAAATAAATCTATATGTCTTTCCTATTCCTAGAATGGCTCAGAGGAGACATAGAAGAGTAAGAACATGGACTCGTCACATAAACATTTTTAATAAAGACTACATCTTTGTACCTGTAAATGAGTCGTGAGTACTTTTGACCATTTGAAAACCAGTTAGGGTTTAAGAAAAAATTATTTGAAGTATAATCAATAAAAAGTATGGGCATATAAAAATTTCTCCAATGTTGTAATAACTAAAGCAATTAATTTTTTGTTTTAAGAAATATTTTGTAAACTAAAAATATCAGAAGAGAATACCTTCCTTAAATTCTAATACAAAAGAAGTGATGTTGTTGGTCTGCTTATTAATAGAGATCCTGAGAAGAAATACTGAATATATGAAGGTAGATAACATTTGCACTATTCAGACAGTGCATTACAAACTTCTATTATGGCCTTGGAAAATCGTGGCTATTACTGTATCATGTATGCTCCATCTTACGTGAGATGCTATAGTGGATGTCTTCATAGTAAGACGTTTATCATATCGACCATCACAGATGTAGCTCTAGAAGATTCTACGTTGTGGAGACTTGGCCTGTTATTAAGACTACAGTTCTTTTCAACAGGTCTCACTGGTACCTCGCAGTCATTTGTTTTCCATGGTTAGAAGAAGCTGTGTATGAAGATTTTCCACAAACTGTGTCCCAACAGTCTCAGGATCAGCAGTCTCAGCAGAACAGCAAAACAACAGGTGACAGACATTGTTAATAATAGTCCCAATAATATGCAGATTAAGGGAAACAACATGAAGTTAACAGTCGACTGTTTATTATGAAACTTAGTAAAAGGAATACAAAATGTTTGAAATTCTCCTGATACCCAGCATTCTACAAAATATAATTCTAAAGTCATACCATTGATGCTAAGTTTTATCATAGCATTTTAAGAGAATAGCCTTGCTAACATGACTCAGAATTAATGGTATGACTCTTCATGCATCTTAAAGTCTAATTTAATACACTTCTTACATACTAGTAATTCAGAGGCAACGTAATAGCTCATATTTCTTCTATAATTCTTGGTGACATCAAATTTTAACTAAGCAAATTTGAAAAAAAAAATTTATTTTTAAATTTAAAATTTTTTAAAAACAAAAATTTATTTTTATTTATTTTCTTTGGAAAAAAAATAAAAATTAAGTGTTTTGTAGCTGTAACCTAATTAGCAAAAAAAAAAAAAATTGATAGTACCTTTTCTCCCTCATGCTATCCAGAATCTGGGGGCGTGAGGGTGGGAAACTGGGGACACCTGTTCGTTTTCTATCCTTTCTTAGCCTTTTGAGCTTCAAAAGTTATAAGAGCCATTACATGAGAAGTTAACTACCCTCTACATTAAAGTACATATTTTTGTTAGTTTGCTGTATGTGAAGGTAGTCTTTTGGGAGGAAATGGGCCCAGCCAATTTGTATTTCAGGTTTTAGTTCTGAGGTTTTTATATTATGTGGTAACAGCCAACCCTTACCAGTTTTACCTATTGTCTAAGTTTTCTCATAATACTGACCATAAAAAATGTTTTTTCTTTAATTAGTACTGTGGCTACATCTTGAAGTTCAGATTATCTAAATTATCTGTGTTAACACACCATAAAGACTCATAGTGACTTCTTTGTTATTAGACGGTGATCTACATACCGCTTCAACAGTGTCTTCGAGTGCACAGGAGTCCCAGGTAAGTGTGTTCTGTCCAGATGTGGAGGAGGAGGAGAACTCACAACAGTTACAAAGTTAGCTATAAAATAGGGCCTGCCCAAGTGGACTGAGATGGGTGTTAGTGGCTTATCATTAAATTGTGCTCCTTTTTGATTATTTCAGCCATTTTTGGGAAAGAACATGAAGTTACCCTTCTCGCCGATTTGTTTAGTTGGTTGTCAACTTGCTCTCTTAGAGAGTCATTGGGTTTTTTAGAATAACAGTGGCACTAAGATGGTCTTTAAAGACATCAGTTTGATCGATCGATTCACTCAGGAATCTGTGAACGAACCATCATCAGCAAAGTTCACAATTGCTAATGCTTTTCCTCTCGTCATAGATAAATACCTGGATTGCTTCTCAGCCTTTGGCTCAGATCAAGTGCAGATTAAAACTGTTTCTTGTGCTTCAAAGGGAAGAAATGTGTCTCTCCAGCCTCAATTGAGTTACAGAAAGTGTACAGACACAGTTACCTTACTTGTCTTTAAGATAATAAGTGAATAAAAATAAAATCTTATGTTATTGCATAGGCCAGGTTAAAGCATCTATGTGAGGTCAGTGTGAAAGTGTATTAGTCAGTGAGTTTGGAAAATGGAGTGAGCTTGATTTGTTTTAAAGCTAACTGTTGAGAAAGAACTTTTACTTGAAAATTTAATTTCAGTATTTGAAATACTTTAAGGAATAAGTGGCTGTTAATGTATTTAAACTAGCTTAAATTGCAAAGACAAAAATTCATGTTATTTCAGAGTACCGAGATGAATATGTCAGTACCAAAGAAAATGTGTAAAAGGTAAGTCCATGTAATAATGATAATATAAAGGTTTGAAAATGATATATTTTAAAGAATTATTATTTTATGTGTATGAATGTTTTTTTGCATGTGTACATGTGTACCACATGTGTGCCTGGTACCACTGCGGAGCTCAGAAGAGGGTGTAGGATGCCCTGGAACTGGAGTTGTGTGCTGCCATGTGATGCTGGGAACCGAGCCCATGTCTTCTGCAAGAACAAGTGCTCTGAACCAAAGAGCCATCTCTCCACCCCTCAGCTTTGTTTATTTATTTATTTATTTAGTGTGTGTGTGTGTGTGTGTGTGTGTGTGTGTGTAACATGCCATGGCACAGCACACGTGTGAAGGTTTGAGGACAGCTTTTGGGAATTGGTTCTCTCCCTCCACCATGTGAGTGCCCAGCATTGAAGTCAGGTGATGAGACTTATAGGCAGTTCCCTGGTGAACTCTCTCACCATGCTGGTGTTTTCTTTGTTTGTTTGTACTTGGGTATTCATCTTTATATAAGTCTGTACATCTTGATTTCTTCCTTTGTGTTTTAAAGGCCGTGTATTCTCATACTAGACTCCTTGAAAGCTGCTTCTATACAAAACACAGTTCAGAATTTACGAGAGTAAGTAATGACAGTTTTTACATTCAGTTTGTTTTCTAAAGTCTCAGCACTTTTGAAACCACCTCAGTATTACTGAAAACAGCCCTGGAGATGTGGGGTTGGGGAGCATAGCATTACCACTCAGAGGCAGTGTAGTAGCCTAACAGGCAAGAGGACCACAAACTCAAGATCTGCTCCGAAGGACAGTGGACTGTCATAGTGAGATCTTGGCTACAATGAAGCGAGTTTGATGGCACCATGGTAGTAATTGTATTTCTTTCTTTCTTTCTTTTTTTTTTTTTGGGGGGGGCGGTTCAAGACAGGGTTTCTCTGTGTAGCTTTGCGCCTTTCCTAGATCTCGATCTGTAGACCAGACTGGCCTTGAACTCAGAGATCCACCTGCCTCTGCCTCCCAAGTGCTGGGATTAAAGGCGTGCGCCGCCGCCGCCGCCGCCGCCGCCGCCGCCGCCACCACCACCCGGCTAGTAATTGTATTTCTAACATGTACTTAAATGAACCTGAAAATCTGTTTGCCAACAACATCTTCTATTATGTGTTAATAGTGAAGAGTTTAGATTTGTCAAAGGTAAATTCAAAATTTTTATTTGTAATTTAACAAAACCATAATTTTATGCAACATTGCAGATATTAGTGATTATCAAAAATAAAGCCTGAAAAGAAAGTAGAAACCTGTAAATTTCTATTTGTGTATGTTTGTGTGTGTGTGTGTGTGTGTGTGTGTATGTGGAGAGGGAGAGAGAGAGAGAGAGAGAGAGAAAGAGAGAGATCTTACAAACATTTTAAAGTCATGTGGATGGGTTGTGGGGTGGTGGCACGCTGGTGCCTGGGCCTCGGTGTGGAGGTGAGAAGAAGCTTGTGGGAGTTGGTTATCTCTTCCACCCTGTGGGTCCTGGGGATCTAACCCAGGTCATGAGGGCTTCGCAGCAAGAAATTCTGATAGAAAGTGCCTTTACCAGAAGGCACTAGAGAGGAATTTCATAATTTAATATAGGTGCTGAAGACAAAATTTAAAAGCTGTGTGTTAGCTTACTTCATAATATAAATAATTTTGTGTTATCTAAACTGTGAACATTAAGTTGTTAAAAAACTCTAGGTTTCATTTGAAATCACATTGCTTTCTTCACTGTGGCATTTGTGAAGGCTCATAAATTACAGTTGTATTGTTGAAATTCTGTCTTTGGAATTTTAATTTGAAGCAACAGATTTTGTAAAGGAGATGTTTTCTTCCTTTGTAGAGAGTGTTGCAGACTGATCAAGATTTCTACTCAAGTCACTCTCCTATTGACTATTTCAGGTATTTAGAGGTAGAGTGGGAAGTTAAGCGAAAAACTCACCGTGAATTCAGTAAAACCAACATGGTAGACCTGTGCCCTAAAGTCCCGAAGCAGGATAATAGCAGCGACTGCGGAGTCTATTTATTGCAGTATGTGGAAAGCTTCTTTCAGGTATGTGCAGATACAGACTTTTTAATTCACAGTTACACAGTTCTGGCCAAGAAGAGGCAGGAAATTGTGAGTAGGCAAGGACATATAGAAAAGACATGGCGGCCACAAGTGACCCCGTAGGAGAATCTGAGAAGTTTACAATTATTTGATTATTATGTTAAATCAAATAAAGCCATAGATGAACAAAATGGACGAAGACATGAAATACAGAAAATATCAAATGAACATTCTAGAGTTGACAACATACAACAATCTATTAAGAACTTTCATGGAGTTCTTTTTTTTTTTTTTTTTTTTTTTTTTGGTTTTTCGAGACAGGGTTTCTCTGTGTAGCTTTGCGCCTTTCCTGGAACTCGCTTTGGAGACCAGGCTGGCCTCGAACTCACAGAGATCCGCCTGGCTCTGCCTCCCAAGTGCTGGGATTAAAGGCGTGCGCCACCACTGCCCGGCCTTTCATGGAGTTCTTAATGTGGTAATACGTGTATGTATGCCCGTGTGATTAGGTAGCTGACCCATGAGGATGAGAAAACAGAAAAACTCACATAAAAGGATAGGTCCTCATTTAGGTGACCTGAGGGGCTACCTAGCCTTTTGACATAAGCCTTTTGCAATACGACACTATCCTTTGTGTTGTCCTGCATTCATGGCTGTCCTGGGATGCACATGACCTCAGGGCTGCAGGCTGGATGCACCTGGTAGCACACCAGATACAGCAGATAAAATTGGAGAACTTGAAGGAAACAAAAAGTGTCCAAAGGTAGTTCATGGAGTAAGAAAATGTACAGAAGAGACGGGTCTGATAGAATGCAGGTCTCATTTTCATATAATTGGAGTCCCAGAAGGCTTAGCGAAGGATATCATAGCTAAGGAAACAATTGGAAGCATGGCTGTTATTTTCCATAGAGACTTTATTGGAATGTAGCAGCATTAAAGGCAAATCTTTAAACAGCAGGGAATCACAGCCTTTTCAGCACCAGCTCACTTAGTTCCAGCACTTGCAGCATCACTGAGGAAGATATGTTTTTGACCAGAAGTCTGTGTAGAGAATTCTTGCCTGCAGTTAGAACTTTCCTGTGTCCTCACTTTTGGGAGGAATGATACTGCATGGTAAAAGATGTTGCACATGATAGAAATTATTACATAATTGTTACATTGTACTTGGTCCCCCCCTTGTAGTCCACATTGGAACTTCATTATACGTAACAGTTCTGGTCCTCTAGTATTGTTTCCTAGTAGGTTTTGATTTAAGTTTTAGAATATCCAATGGACCTTTTTAGTGATGTATTCTTACTTTGTTACATAACTCTAATTGTAGGTAGCCTCAGTCAATAGAATATATGTTAAATATAGAATCACCATATAAAGGCCGGGCGGTGGTGGCGCACGCCTTTAATCCCAGCACTCGGGAGGCAGAGCCAGGCGGATCTCTGTGAGTTCGAGGCCAGCCTGGGCTACCAAGTGAGTTCCAGGAAAGGCGCAAAGCTACACAGAGAAACCCTGTCTCGAAAAACCCAAAAAAAAAAAAAAAAAAAAAAAAAAAGAATCACCATATAAAATTTCTGGGAGAAGCTAAAAATTCTAAACCTATGTCTTGTAGATTTGTGTACTAATGTAGCATTGACCAGGTTAAAAACAGGCTTGAGGAGTCAGTGGGTTTCCTTAAAGAAAACAATACAAATTTTAGTAAAAAACCAGGCAGTAAATCACCATGTAGGCATTGGCCCATAGGGTCACTGACAATGAGTCCATCCTGAGATTCCAGTCGGTCCATCGTCTCACTCTTCTCCAAGATAGAAGTCCTTACATTAGCCTTCTAACAGCTTCTTCAGATTTATAAAGCCAGGTAAGGGTAGCCTTCCTTAGCAACTAAAAGAAAGTTAAAAGCAAGGAGAAATAACTTTGTAGTTGCAACTCAACTTTGCCATTAAATTAACACTGTAGAGCCGGGTGCTGGTGGCACACACCTTTAATCCCAGCACTCAGGAGACAGGCAGGCAGATCTCTGTGAGTTTGAGGCCAGCCTGGGCTACAGAGCAAGTTCCGGGACAAGCTCCAAAAGCTACACAAAACTCTGTCTCGAAAAACAAACAAACAAACAAACAAACAAACAAATTAACACTGTGGAAACATAACTGTTCTGGAAGCTGTTTCTTACCCTAAAAGACAACTTTTAGTGGGATTTTCCATGTTTACAACTCTGGAAATCTTTATCCAGGGCTTTCTCCATAATAGTTTAACAAAATTAGCACGTGTTCAAAGTAATCTGATTTCCAAGTTCTGCTGAATCATTATTTACCAGTTGTAACCACTCAGACATGCAGTGTAACCGAGTAGACTAGTTAATTTAATGTTCTAAAGTGAGCAGTTTCATGAAAATGTTCTAAAATGGATTGTGGCCATGTTTACCCAGTTGAAAAACTGAAAACTAATTGTGTGCTTTATGTGAGTGCTGTGGTATGGTGTGCAACAAGATGTTGATTTTTGAAAGGTATCACTTTTCCATTTCCTATAAAAGTGAGATTTGGAAAAACAGAAATCATGATGTCACACTAATGGCATTCTTTCTTTCCTCTTAATAGGACCCCATTGTTAACTTTGAACTCCCAATCCACTTGGAGAAATGGTTTCCTCGCCATGTAATAAAGACCAAGCGGGAAGACATTCGTGAGCTCATTTTGAAACTTCATTTACAGCAACAGAAAGGCAGCAGTAGCTAGTTAATCCGCAGGCACGGCGCATGCTCTCTAAGCTTGCTGGAAAGCCGCTTATCAGCATTTGTGTCAGCTTACCGAGAAGGAAGGAACTTGCGGTCGTCCATAAATTGTTGAAATGTATATGGTATCTTGTTTGAGTCGTTGGGCTCTCACAGCTGAAGGTGTCATAGAAGCACTTATAGAAATTAAAATTTCATAAATATATTTTTATGATGAAATATGCTTGGATTATGCAATAGCATATGTAATGTGGGAATGTTTTCATAAGTAATAAAACTATGTGATCAGTACTTCCACATGACTGGGTGTTGATGGGAGTTAGGTTCTCCCCGGTGCCAGCCCAGCACTTGTCAAGTTTGTTGACAAGTCACATCATATTGTAATTCTCTTCTTTGCAGCTCAAGCATGCAGTATGAATACTGTGTATTTTTTTAAAAAAGGAACTTAGTATCAAGGCTTCAGAAAATGCCATTCACGGCATCCCTTCTGTATAGTGTGAAAAAAGAATACCATTAGATAAAAATGTACCCTTTCAAAGTGCAGCTTATTATTCTCAGTTGCTAAATGCAATTACTCTGCTCGGATCCCCTCCTCCTCCTCCTCCTCCTCCTCCTCCTCCTCCTCCTCCTCCTCCTCCTCCTCCTCCTCCTCCTCTCTCAGTGTCATAAACAGAGGTCTGAGACGTGAGCTCATTTGTTCAGATAAAGCGTGGAACAAGTTTTAAGTACCAAATAAGTTCTAAAAAATGATGTAGCTAAGCTTTGTTTATTTGAGGTACAGCTATATAAATACTCATTCCTACATTACCCCAGATTGTGTGTATACAGTTTCTATAAAAGATAAAATTGGTGTCCTCCTAATTTTAACAGAGTACCTTTAAACTTCTATTTATTATTTAGAACCAAATACGTAATTTTATACCTTGGTTACCCACTGTTCATCTGCAAAGCCAGATTTCTCATTTCTTTTATAATTTTAAGTTATAGTTTTTAAAGATGTATGATTCCCCCAGGGATCTCACACATACAGCGCCTAATATTTTATTAAATATTCAGGTAACAGTTCTACTGAATTTATGTGATGATGGTGGTGTTATCTATTAAACATTTTAGAGTCCTAGGCTATCAGAAATATTTTGAGGGAGACAATGATCTTACTGTTTTCTCAGATAATGGGTTTTAGAATATTTTGTTAAACATCTCTTGGATTTAGTTAGAACTCTGTGTAAAGCATTTGAAACAAAGGCAAAGTAAGATAAAACTAGGAAGTGACTTGGGGTTGTCAGTCAGCCTTAGTGTCCCCAGTTTCTGTTGACCTTGTCTCTCTCTCTCTGCACAGTTCAAGATACATGGCTTTTGGAGATTTCACATGGCAGTGGTTATTAATTGCATCTTTCATTCCCAATTGGTGTGTGTTGGGGAGAAACTTTTTTTTTAAAGTGGCTGTTAATTGTTTTGTACATCAAATTTTGGAAAGCCAGTATATAAGATACCTTGTAATTACTGAACTTTTTTGTTTGTGTGTTTTTCAAAGATACCACTGTCCTTCATCATGTTTTGGAGACTGTTTAAAATTTGTTTTCCTAAATTCATGTAGAAATAATGATTTGAGGATGTCAACATTTTATATTAAACATGTTTTCAATTCATTAAATTGAGGTGTAATTTTTTCTTAAATATGAAGCACTGCTAGAAATGGGTGACGTGGTTACCCGTTTGATGGGTGACAGTGAAATCACCCCCTGTGATGGGTGACAGTGAAATCACCTCCTGTGATGGGTGACAGTGAAATCACCTTCTGTGATGGGTGACAGTGAAATCACCTTCTGTGATGGGTGACAGTGAAATCACCCCCTGTGATGGGTGACAGTGAAATCACCCCCTGTGATGGGTGACAGTGAAATCACCCCCTGTGATGGGTGACAGTCAAAACTCTTAACAGTATTGTATAAAATGACCTCAGAATATGTCTGGGGAGTATATATGAAACATAAATATTTATGTTTATTATACTAGAATTGTATTTTTAACTGTACTGTGTCCTGCATATACCATGTAATTGGCTGTTTAATTTTTCTTCATATTTTAGCAAATATACAGTGAATTTGATTGTCTTTTTGTTTAAAGGAAAATATTTTTACTTCAACTTAAATTAAATAAGAAGTGCTCCCCAAATCCATAATCCAAAATACTCCTAAATCTGAAGTGTTCTGAGCAGGAGCATAATATGACAAGTAGAAAATTCCATACTTGACCTGTGATGGGTGACAGTCAAAACACTAAAAATATTGTGTACAATTACCTCAGGATATGTATGATGAGTGTATATGAAACATAAATGAATATCACACATAGACTTGATCCCTTCCCTCAAGTCATGCATTTGCAAATATTCTAAGATTCAAAACATACAACTCTTCAGCTCTCAGATATTTCCTGTGATATGCAGCTCCCATTATCTACTACCCAGTAGTACACACAAGAAAATGAACGTCAGGGTTATTGGGCTCAGTGGGTAAAGGCATTGGCTGTGCAAGCCTAGTGTTCTAGTTTGCTTTCTGTTGCTGTGGTAAACACTATGACCAAAGCAACTTGGGGAGGAAGGAGTTTATTTCATCGTATACTTCCAGATCATAGTCCTTGAGGGAAAGAAACCAGGGCAGGGACTTGAAGCAGAAACCGTGGAAGAATACTGTCTGCTGGGTCAATCCCTCTGCCAGCATTTTGCTAGACACACACACAAAACACAAACTCTTTCCTTTTTGAAAGCAATTTTTTTTTTTTTTTTTTGTTTTTTTGAGACAGGGTTTCACTGTGTAGCTTTGGCGCCTTTCCTGGAACTCACTCTGTAGCCCAGGCTGGCCTCGAACTCACAGAGATCCGCCTGGCTCTGCTTCCTGAGTGCTGGGATTAAAGGTGTACGCCACCACTGCCCGGCTGCAAATACTTTTTATAATACTTTATTTATTAATTAAAAGTTTTATCCCCTTCTAATGCCTGTAGCAGGCTTTCTTTTAGGCCACTAACCAACTCCCAAATCATGCCACAAAGACTTAATATTAGTTATGAATGCTTGGCCTTACCTTATGCTTGTTTCATTAGCTCTTGTAATTTAAATTATCTTGTTTCTTTTCATTTACATTTTGCTGTGGGGCTTTTTAACCTTCCTTTCCTTCTGTATATCTTACTTTCCTGCTGGCCCCATGGCTGGCTGGTAGCTGCCTGGCTTCTGGCCCCAGGTCTATCCCCCTCTTTCTTCCTTATCTCTCCAGCCTAGATTTCTCTTCCTACTTATTCTCTGCCCACCAGCCCTGCCCATTCTTCTCCTGCCTAGCTATTGGCTGTTCAGCTTTTTTATTAAACCAATCAGGTGCCTTAGGCAGGCAAGATGAAACAAATGCAACACATCTCTTCATAATTAAACAAATGCAGCATAAACACATGTAACACACCTTTACATATTAAAGTAATATTCCTCAGCATAAACAAATGTAATTATCTTTACAAAGTTAAAATAATATTCCACAACAAATGCCCATGATACCTTCCACTTTGTTACCCAACTTCATGCTGTTTTTGTTGTTTATTAATGCTTCTCTGGTCTAATTCGTGCTTGCGTATGAGCATGGGTGTGGGTTCCACCCACTGGGGCATGGACCTCCTTTTCATCTAGCTTCTATTACTGCCTAGGCCCACCTCCCCGGGGGCAGTACTGCATATGACAGTGGGCCAAACCCTCCCCAACCAATCAACAATCTAGACAGTTCCCACAGTCATGGTCTCAGGTCAATCTGATCTGGGCAGTTCCTCCAATGAGACCCCCTCTCTCCAGATGACTCGATTATATGAACTTGACAATAAAAACTAACCAGGACACATAGTGACCTGAGTTGGGTTCCTGGAACCCGTGTGAAAGTAGAAAGAGATAACTGACTTTATAAGTGGTTCTCCAACCTCCGCAGATGAGCTGTGCCCTGCACATTCACATATACATTATGTACATGTGTGCACACATAACACACACATACTAATCATAAATTAAGAAATGAGCTCTTCCATTTTTGAAAGCAAATACTCGTTTCTGGACAGATGAACAAGTCTAGTAATTTGGTAAGAATAGAGTTTGAGAGTGTGGTGAAGCTCAGCCTAAAGGGGGTATAATGTTCTTAGCAAAGGATATTAGTGAAAGGCAATAGACAGTGAAAAGCCTGCTAATGGCCAGAGCTTATTTGTAGAGAAGATACAAATTTTAACTTAAAACTCTTGAGATTGGGGGCGGGGGGAAGCAGTTTTTATTTGTTTTGTAAGTCCTATTCAATAGGGTAGTGATTGAGAACATTTTAAACATCTTTTTTTTTTTCCTTTTGGTTTTTTGAGACAGGGTTTCTCAGTGTAGTTTTGGTGCCTGTCTTGGATCTCCCTCTGTAGACCAGGCTGGCCTCGAACTCACAGAGATCTGCCTGACTCTGCCTCTCGAGTGCTGGGATTAAAGGCATGTGTCACCACTGCCCAGCTGTTTTAAACTTCTTAAAAATCATCTTCTGTTATTTTTTTGGGAGGGATCAGGAAGTGAAATGTCTCAACTTGTCATAGAGCTGCCTTCATCCTGGTCCAGCCTGTTCATCCTTCCATTCTCTCTCCCTCGCGGTACAGAATCACTCTCATGCTGTACTTCTGCTCTTTTAACTGGGCCTGTTTCTGTGGATCGTGTAAACTTTGCCTGTCACATTTCAGAAGACAGGGTTCTTTGTAGATGAGGCCTCCTGCCATTGGGGCCTACATTTACTCAAATGATCTCATCTGTAACTCTGCATTCTTTTGGGGGGGGGTGAAGAAATCAAAGCCTCAAGAAGACCTCAGATGAAGGTGTACCCTACTTAAAATTTACCGTGGTAACAACAGTGTGAGGTATTTTTCAACAACGTATATGTGGAAGCAGGTAATGGACTATTGTTTTGTGAGTGTGAATGCCTGGAGTTGGTTTTGTTTCTAAGTAGGTTAATAATCATTCTAATATGCTCATTTTAACTCGGTGTTTGATGTAACTTGTAACTGCAGCACTTCAAATCCCAAGCACTTTAGGACAAGTGATACCTAAGTCTGTTAGCCAGTGTTTGCTACACACACACACACACACACACACACACACACACACACACACACACGCACTGAACTTTACTCTTTTGAAAGCAAATACTTTTTTTTTTCCCTGTTATAAAGTGATTTTATTAAATTGATTTAGACATACTGTAGGTCAAATAATATTTTCTGAAGATAACAATTATGGACTTTAAAGCTTGACATAAAATTAGTAGCTTCAAAAGTGTTAGTTGTATTCCCCAGCAACAGCATGATAAAATAATTCAACTATGTAGAAATATAGAACTCTAGGACTAGCTGGAAATTGGGAAATCATTTAGTCCAGTGTCCTCATTCTGTGAGAAAACTAGACCTTAAGATTAAGCGATTTGCCCAAGCTTACATACCTAGTAGTAATAAAGCTAGAAATCAAACCAATTCTTCCTAAAACTAAGATTCTATTGATGATATTTCAACTGGTTCTCTATCAACTCAAAGTCTAGGCTTTCCTCTAATGTTCCACGCTGTGGTGACATTGAGTTAAGACACTACAGTAAATTGCTGTGGTGGCTGTGAGGCCTGGAAGGGGCTTTGTGAGCCAATAGCCCTCTCTGGAGAGGGGGGGAAGGCAGTGACCAGTGGGCCAGAGGCTTGCCTGAAGGTGTCTGCACTGAAATGCATGGTAACAGATTCATGCCCAAACACAACCCACTGACTGTGTGCTCCTATCAAGCCTCCTCTACACACCAAGGCTTCAGTCTTACAACAGCCTCTTCCAGCCAAACACCTAAAAAGCAAAACAAAGCAAAAAAACAAACCTGCAGAGAAAAACCAAGCAGTCTTGTATTTCTGACCATCTGGGAAGTTCTTTCTCCAGCCTTAAATGGCTGGCAGAAGCCACCAAGCCAGTCACCCACTTCAGACTTACAGGTCATTAGTTTCCCCAAAGACTTCCTGAGCAAATGACGAAAGCAAATACTTTTTAAAATAATACTTTTAATTTATTCTTTAAAAACTTATATTTTTTTTGGTCTTTCGAGACAGGGTTTCTCTGTGTAGCTTTGCACCTTTCCTGGAACTCACTTGGTAGTCCAGGCTGGCCTCGAACTCACAGAGATCCGCCTGGCTCTGCCTCCCGAGTGCTGGGATTAAAGGCGTGTGCCACCATCGCCCGGCTAAAACTTATATATTTTAATCATATCTATACACCATTATCTCCCTCTAACACTCCCAGTACCCCCTACCATCTCACTCGACTTCATGACCTCTTTTTATGTTGTTTATTGACAGCTCTCTGGTCTAATTAGTGCTTCCCATGTCAGCGTGGATATGGGGACCATCCACTGGGGCCTTGACAATCTACTAGTAGTTATGTTCCCAAAGGAGAGTGACTCTCCCACAGCACCCAGCCACTAACTGCTAGTAGCTCTTTCACCAAGGATGGGATCTCAGGGGTCCTTCTCCATGCATGCTAGGATTTTTGTGAATATTTATTTCCAAGTAACACTGCACATTGCTACTTCTCTTTCTAAAACGCCCCTTGTAACACTTGTGCTCAAAGAATAATCATACAGA